GGTGTTTAGTTAACATTCCAGGAAAAAATAAATATATATAAATTGTGAGAGTGAAAAGTGACATCAACAAAAAAAAAATTAATTCTAATTTTGGGGCTCCAACTAACACGGTTTGGTTAATAAAATAAGTAACATTATAATGATATAACATTTTATATATTTTATAATTATATACCTTTTTGTTTCATTATTATTGTATGAAAATATTTTATTTTGTTTTTTTTATTACTGAAATAAAGATTATTATGAACCTAACCCTTTGTATTGACCATAACAACAAATTATATCTCACGAAGAAAACGAATGATTTGAAGATTACTACAAAGTGGAGAGAATTTATATGAATAAAAATTCAATTGATCCATCTCCCTTAAAACATTGGTAAACGAAAATGGTTTACAGCAGAGGTTCCCAAACTTTTTTGTGTCGTAGACCCCCTACTTACCTGATATTGATTTTTTGTAAATTTGTTATTTATATTGGGACATCTTTATAATTATTAAGAACTTTGCTCTGAGACTGCGCGTATGCTTGTGACAAGATGATACTGGAATATCATTATGTGCAGATTTTTATAAGTTCATAATGTATTGCGACCACAAAGCAAATGCCTACATCCTACAACTTACACAATTTTATAAACATATATAATTTTTTTTTTACTTCATAGGTACTTTTATAAATAATGTATATGTTTTTATATTATAAGACAGTATAATGTAAGTAAATAGGTACTATCTGTGTATGTTGAGATCCATTATCATGGACCCCCAAACTTTTTTTCGCTGACGTAGACCCCTTGCAGGTTGTCATAGACCCTTGGGGGTCGATATAGACCACTTTCGGAATCACTGGTTTACAGAGTGCTTATTTCTTATAGAGTAGAAAACTACATTTGAACTATAATAATGAATTAATTAATAAAATAAATGATTTCAACATAAATTCATTGTATATGTTGGAAAATACATTTTAAATTTCATTTCAATTTTCTAAAGTCGTTCGAAATAAGTAAACAGATACAAATATACTAATAATTGTAAAATAATTTATAAAGGCAAAATAATTTTTAAATAATATCAATATTTCAATTTTGAAAAAAAAAACAATTGATAGTAAATAATATGTAAATTTAATGAGTAAAACAAATTAATTTATAAATGTCAATATGATTTAAAAAAATCTTATTTATATTGTTATACAATATGATGCAATTACAAAATAATTATAAAATATTGAAGATTAGCTTGTTCTAATTAAAAAATAATTTTGAAATAAGGGTTATAGTTTATTTAAAGTTAAACAAGTCAAAATAAATATTATTCAAATCAGTGATTCCCAAAGTGGGCGCTGCAGCGATTCAGGGAGCAGTGATGGCCACAGATGCATTTGGGGCGATAAACAGTTATTGCTATTAAAATTAAAAAAAATAATTTCCAGGTGGCGCTGATTAATATTTTTTCTGGAAAGGGGGCGGTAGGCCAAATAAGCTTGAGAACCATTGATTTAAATATACGCATTTATAGATTTTTTTAAATTCTAAATTAAATATTTATGGTGCTAATTGCTTTACATTTTGAACGTATATTGAACATATGAAAACCTTACAAAGATTACAAAATAACCATAAACAATTTTAAAATAAGTTTTTAAGACAATCAAGTGATATGTAAATTGAATAAATATAATGAATTATTTTAAACTTTAAATTATTTAAATATTAGAGATTTTAAACCGTAAGTAAGTAAAGTATATCCGCTGCTGCATTTTCTCCGAAACGCAATTAAAACGGATACTTTCCATCGCAACGATCCACTTCTTTTTATTTTTCTGGCCTTTAAGACGAGACGAATCATCGTAATTTCGCGCTATTTCGACGTCTCTTTCCATCCTTCCTTTCCACATGCCACAATGTATAAGGTCCTTTTCCGTATCCGTGCTACTCGGTGCTCCTCGATTGAATGCATAAGCGTCGCATTAGAAATCGTTCGCAGCTCGGCTCAAAAGTAATGATATTAGCTGGAAATGGAAGACCCATGGAGCAAGTGAAAGTTATTTCTTAACGACGGCCAACACCGTCGGCCTCCTCGGTATTACCACAAGCCTGACCTAAAATTGGAGGTAGTATCGCGCGTGAATTTCGCGTCTTCGCTGCATTTAACGCAGAATTCAATGATAAAAGTTTGCGTGTTTATACACAACGAACGGCAGCAAACTCAAGTTAAAAAAAAAGTTTACGAAGATTAGGATTTCTTGTTTGCATCCCAGAAAGTGAAATTATTTGAGGCGAAATGTTCAAATTGTTGACCGTAATATTTGTATACACAATTTTCACTTCGAAAGGTAAGAAACAGTTAATAAATATATAATCTACAAATTTATTTGGAATACTTTATTTGATTTTCTGTTAAATATTGTTTGTATATGTCGTCATGTTTCTGGAAAAGATTCTTTTTGGCAATTATTACAAGGTGATTCTAATATTTAAATAACTTTTTTTTCTCATACATTTTAATTGCATATTTAGAAATGTGCTATTAACATTATTTCCACCTTGAAAACTATTGGCCAATCCAGGTAATAATCATAAAATATCCTTAAATAATATTTATGTTCATTTTCTTTTGTCTTATTTATTGATAAAAGATGTATAAATTAAAAAATATATAAATAATAGAAAGATTTCGGTCGATCGCCTCTTTGTAGAATGAACCATTATTTTTTTTGTAATCAATGGTAATTAATAAATGTAAACAATAAAACGTAATTGATGAATATTACTATATTTCTAAAATATTCAGAATCTTCATCTAAATAGAAAGAAATAAACATATTCATTTTTAATTAGAAATATTTAATCATTAACGATTTAGTTCAACTGTGACGAATTGGAGCAGTGTTGAAATATTTCGAAGGTCATTTTTCAATATGAATGTTTTCTTCAAAGTAATTTAATAATATCATATTTCATTAAATACTCAATTATTCCATATTATAATTCTCAGTTGAATATTATTCATAAATTAAGGTATTGAATATCAAACTATTATTATTTACAAATTTATTTAATTTAAACGTTTTATAAATGAAAGTTTTTAATTATGAATAATATAAAATAAGAATAATATGATGCAATAACATTTTAAAGTTAAATCTCTTGTCAAGTAGAAAGAATATCTTTGCATCTGCTGTTTCTTATTTTGAAAGTATCATATACAGTTTCCATTTTGAAGGTTCTCATGTCTTTCATCGATTCTAGTGTTTCGTTAACAATATTTTCATTTTGTAATTAAAGAGAGACGTCGTTTGTTCGGGTTAATACAGAATACCTTTTAAAATGATTAAAAATGTGTTTTTGTATTAATGTGTTAAGTTAGCAAATAAAAGTAATGTATTAACCGTGTTTTTCAATTAACCGTGCTTTAATGTTCTTTATTTATAAATACAGCATTGATTTTTTTTAGATATATTTATGTTAAAATATGATTAATTAACAATAAAATATCAATTTAATGAAGGTTATTTTTAATGATTTTTTTGGAGAACATTTCGAAATTGCTCTTGACTTTTTCTTATGTATCAAGTTCAAATGTGTGTGCAACATGCTGTGTTTACGCAACATTTTAAGATTTAATTTTAATTTGCACTGAAAGATGAAGATTTTTAAATTTGTTGAAATGAGATCTTGTAGTACAGGAAATCGGATTGTCATTTGTTTTAATCAATATTTTATAAATTTTTAGTTTCTATTAAAGAGATAAAATATCTGAGAATCTAGGATTCATGAATTATGCAACATCTAGCACCAAAATTTCTATTGTGCTTTTTTGTACATGAAATAACGATATTTCTTTCCGATGTTCCTATTTTCCGCACGTTTTCATCAGCATGATTCAAATCCATAACACACATGTCAAACCGCACGTTCAAACACCAAACATAACGAATATTTTAAAATATTAAGAATACTCTGACGAATGCGGATGTTAAAATTCTTCTTGTTACTATTATATTTATTCACTTTCACATTGTTTTAATTTCCGCATCAAATATACAAAAATAAAACATTCGCTTTTTAAAAACATATTTTTTTTGGAACAGAAATTACAGCAATTTTCTATATTTGAAGAATCAACGACTTTCCCGATAATTATAGATTCGTAGGCATTTAAGGCGTACTTACGTAGTGTTTAAACAGTTTGGATCACCGAAAATAGAAAGTACATTACAATAGCGCTCCGGTCACACAGCAATAGGTCTTTCCAAGACCATTACAAATCATCGGTTTCCGATTCACATATTTCGCTAAATTGTAAAATCAATTCGAAACGAATTACTTTGAAATTATTTTAGTGATAATTACATTTTTTAATGCTACAGAATTAAAAAAGTTACTAAAATAGTCTTACTTGAGTCGAAAGGATTGAACTAAAATCGGAAGTGGATGTGTATCGCGGAGCACGCATAGACTTTGTTTGATGTATTACCTTGGAATAGGTCGTGAAAAATCGCTGTAAGCGCTCTTCAAAACACAATAGACTCTTTTTTTGTTAAACAATCCTTACGTGCTATTCTTGAGTGCGACGCCCTACATAGATTATACGAACGAAGTGGGCATAAGACAAAGCGTTCAGTTAGAAGTAATATTTTGCATATTGTCTTTGGGTTTCTGAAATGGTAAACTTAATGGTAAATGGCGAACGCAAAGGACGCACACATTCACACGAAACATTGCGTAATTCAAGTCCTTGGAAGAAATAGTTCACCTTTCATAAATATAATGTAATGTTGTATTACAATATTTACACTGTTACAAATTGATAATTTTCATAGTAGTTCTCATAAGATTGTTAAATTACTAAAATTTTACCGAGTTTCGTAGTCACCAAAGTTAATTTAAAATATTTATTTATTTGAATTTGAAAGCAGTAGAATGAAATTTGATTATTCAATCAGGAGTTTCTACTGTCTTGTGTAATGTTTTCATTGTGTAATTCGTTACTGAAATATTACACACATAAAAATTACTTTATTTTCTTTTTCAGTAGTATCGCCGTTTATTGTACCAGATGAAGTCCCGTCGCTTCTATCTTTGATCTACTCGAACATCCCAACCATAATGAAAGGTGACTTCCTCAGCGAACCGAAATTCAATTTGCAGTCATCAAATCTTTGAATTTTTAGGAACCGATTCAAGACTTGGATGGGGTTTCCGGTTGGGAGATCGCGCTGATTTCCAAGTTCTCGTAGAACTCGGACCTCAGAAGAACACCCAGAAGTTAGGAAATCAAGACGACGGAGGCAACAGAAAACGAAACGTTGCCAACAATATAGTCAGCAATCTTTACGCGCAAAGACAACGCGAAAAAGATCACGTAATTCCTTTTTTTTTTTTAATAAAATAGTTTTTGTATAAATTCGTTTTTAGATCTCCAATACCGATGGAGGGTCTTTTTTGCAACAGTGGAGCCAAAACATGGGATCCAAGAAACAACCCATTACTTACGAAGACGAGGAACCCACTAGAATCGAGTTGGGTATTGGAGAAGTCGATGCCAAACAAGTGCTTCCTGAAGACTCTGTCGTTAATCTTGCCAAACTGTACGATAACAGGAAGACTCCTACCGATGTTACCACCAAGAAACCAGCAACGACTACCAGTTATAAGGACGCTTTGGATAACGTGGATTTGGATTAGATTCAAGGGATGATTATGTAACATTTGCACGATGCGATAAACATCTTGTTGTTGAAAGTGCGATTAGATCATTAGTAAATGGTGTTCTTGGAACTAGTCAATCGAATTATTATGTTGTATACTTTTAAAAATTATTTATTTTATATAATTGTATGGAATCTCTTCTGAAAAAATATATTGGTTATATACGAAGTAGTCTTAGTTTGATTAGATTCGGTAAATGAAAAAAATAATAAAGCGACATTTTAATGTCCAGGGAATGCGGAGAGGTATTTGATGAAAGCATTATCGTTTTTGACAATATTCTTCCTTAATAAATAATCCTTAAGCGATACCTGAAAAAGAACAAATGTTACACAAACAAGTATGAAACACGAATTACTCTTACTAAATGATTTATGTTAATAACGTTCTGTCGAGAAGAGACTTTCCACAAGTTCACAGCCAGAATTGACAGAGCATCGTTTTTGAACATATCGCTTCTGTTCACTAGAGACATGACCAACTTTAAAGATAACGTTGCCTGCATGTGGCCACTTTCCAGTTCCTCCAAAATACCCAAAAGCTCTTGCAAAATAATGGAGTTAACTTTGTTAACCTCCATTATAAACTTCGGCTCGGAACCGTAAAATGTATCATTCGATTCCACTGAAAAAAAAAATCGATATTAAATTTAGATGTAATCTAATTCATTGATGTTACTACCTTTATCAACGTAATATGGGTACGTTTCTTGGACCATAGTCGAAAGCATGTCAAGCACACTCAAGTACATTTCGAACAAATTATTCTTGTGCTCCCATCTATATCTTTTAATAGCATTTAAAAGCACTCGTGTCAAATGTAAAACTCCCTTTTCTGGACTATCTGGGACCACGAGCAAAGTCGATAAGAACTGCTTCAAATAAGAAATCAAAAATTGCTCGTTGGGTGTAACACCTTCTTCGATTTCAAGCAGCTCGGGTATTATAGAAATTGCAGTTTTGAAACTCACATCAGCTAAAATAAAAAAATATATATTATAATTTTTATATATTGAAGATATCTTTTTTGATAATTACCTTGCCCTAAGCAATTACTAAAAAGCGCCACTCGACCGGACATCAAGTACATTTCGAGTCTAGTCCTAGTAGATGGAATTGAAGGAATTGTTATGAAACTGTAAGCTGCACAAGCTTTTACAAAAGATCCAGTTTTTCTTGTGTGATGTCCTTTCACTATCGTTCTGACTTTAACTGACAAATGGTTAACGCACTAAAAAAAGATAAAATTAAATTATATAGTGAAAAAAACCCTTTCTTCATTTTACATGGACTAACTGAACCAAAACCGGGCTTAAATTGTAGAATAATCCTCTAGCTTCCACGTAAAATGCCAGTTGTTCCTCGAAATTTTGGCCGTAGTCAACTTTCCGAATGATGCCACAGATGATTTCGCTAATTTGCCTAATATCATCATCAATGGACATCGAGTTAATGGAGTCATGAAGAACTCCACACAAGAACATAATTGTATTGATAATGATTGAATCACTGGTTATTGAATCGTTGTTATATTCCGACAGAATTATTTTGCATACATCCGAACGGTATTTCTCTTGTTGAAACAAATCAATAAACGGCAGAAAGTTGTCCTGCAAAAATTATAATTGATATTAACATAGAAAAAGTGATCAACAAATTTACCATTATAAGGAACGCTTCGATGTCTTGGGTACTTTCGACGATTTTCTCAATGATGGACTTCAGTTCAGGGTAGAAATTTTCGCGCACTCCTTCCATTGACATGTGCTTAATTATGTCGCCTAAGATATTATTGAATTCCCCTTCGTAGTTCTAAAATAGGTTGTGGTAACTTCATATTATTTACATTGTTAATTGATTTACCATAAAATGTTGAACGGCAAAAAGAACCCAAACGTCAGCGCATTTGATGTAATGCTCAGGATTTTTTATTTTGGAGATGTGGTACCAGGCGATGTTCAAAATCTGCTTTCTATCAATGACAGAGGGCGGGCACGTTGTGACGCACGCCCCCAAAGTGCGAAGCAATACGTACCCAGGGAATTCTTCACCGTTACTCTTCTGAGTTATAACTTCGATGAATTGTAAAGCTCTCATCGAAATATAAGAGGGTTTGAAACCTGCCATTATAGTATTCAACAATAAAAATCTAAAACAAAAATTCAGTATATACGTTTATGATTTGATTACTATATGAAATGAATTTTCTCTCTCAATTATAACTCACTTATTATTTTGCTGTTCGCATCTAGCTAAAATCTGCATAAGGATTGCGTCTGAAGCATCGGCCACGATCAATTGCAACATATAGTCCAAAGCAGGACTGTAGAGAGTCAGATAAGATGAATATTCCATCTTTTGCTTGGTCAATTCGATGTGGATTTGACGAGTGAAGAGCTATAAATACGAAAACTTTATTAACTGCTCTATTCTTAAAAAAATATACTTTCGTACGTGTTTGTATAGGTCGAGGAAGTCGTTAAAGTTCTCCAATAGGAATTTATTATTCTTTCCTGGTGTAGTAACAGTTACACCGACACGACACAAATAGCATCTGGCGTAGATTGAAACCAAAGGGTTTCCTATACCTCTAATCATGTGCGTTAATCTCATCAACGCCGCAGAATATTCGCTACAAAATAAATCAATTTAACAAAAATCTATTAAAAGTGTATACACTTTTAATTACCTAGAGGTTAGGAAGCTGTATGATTTCAAAATAGCCATTTCCACAAAAATTCTAGGAACCAACTCTCTGATTGAAGCAATTTTATAGAACCAATTTCGGCACGTTTCTTTGGCACATTCCGGAACCATATCAGAACTGAAATCAACCGGTAATGCTGTTGGTTCTTTACAACCTGGTCTAAAAAGTAAGTAAAAATTGTTTGTAAACACATTATAAAAAAAGCTTAAATGGAAACATACTTAATATAGTTGGATTTATTTCGCAAACGTTCAAAAACCAATTTACCGAAGATATCCAAAATATCAGTTATAAGAACGAATTTGCTTGGGTAGAATTGCAGTACGTCAGTGTCCGATAACATTTTTGCACATTGAATAGAAATTTTTAGAGCTTTAACTCTCTGTTCTGAGTTCCAAGCCATTACCAATTCTTTGTTCAACTGATCAATTCTCCTCACATACTCCACCTGTGATAAGTTGAATTTCTTTTGTGATCCTTCCTCAAATTGGTCCAGTTGTTCCAATCTATGTTGCACCTTATCAATTGATCCTGATTGGGCTTTGACAATCACTGAAAACTCTACTTTGACATTTTAATCAAGCAATCCCAAAATACTCATATACCTTGTTCATCATCATTTAAGTAACTTGAAATGATGGAAATTTTTTCAGAGGTTGTGAACTGGTTGAGTATGTGGTGTTTCCTTGCATCCCATGTTTGAACATTGTTGGTGTCATTTTGACCTTTATAAATGTTACCAGATTTAGTTGTTAAATCATTTTGCATGGCAATTTTTGAAAGTGGGTCTATTTCTTCTAAAGCAAATTTTGTTAAAGGATCATAGCCTTCCAGAGCAGTGTGTATGTCAATTAAAGATGAAGGTGTTGAAGATGGTGTTGAGCGAGATGATACAGAATTCTTCTTTGTAATTCTTTCTCTCACCTAGGGATAATAGTTATATAATATTGTAAAAACATCTCATAACATACTCACAATAATTTGCTTTAATGGATGATTATCAGTTTCACATTTTACACTTCTTTTGATACTTGTAATATGTGATTTTATTGCAGTTATCCTAAGAATTTATTACATAAATAAATTAATCAACTAAATTAAATTAATACTAACCATTCTTGATTCTTAGTACTCATTTTGATTTTCTAAAATAGTTTTTTTACTATTTCAAGCTATTTACTAAACCAACCAACTCCAACTCACTATTTACATTTGTAGAATTGTCAAAATAATCCGATTATATGCAATATATAATATTATATTGTAGTTTAGTTGCATACCTTATTAAGGTTTGGAAACCAACTTCACGGAATCGAGTTTAAATCTGGCAACAGTGCTAGTTCGACACTGCTCTTTTGATCATCGGCAGTGGGAAGGTTAGTGAAGTGACATAATTTATTTTTTTCTCTAAATTTCCTATTAGATTTTAACAATTTCTTATAGATAAACCCGTAGAATTGTTAATTATCTATTATATTATAATGAGCCGGTTTTGTTTTAACTTTGTGTTGAGATAATTGTCGAAAATCCAGAGAAAATTCTATTACATAATACCCAACTGTCTACAGCAAGGGTAATACATAACTTTTTTTTTTTCAGTTCAAAGATCTACAAAGATGATTGGAAGATTCGGAGCTATGGCCCCATTGGTGGCTCAAAATTTGCAACAATCCCAACAACAGCGTGGAATGGCCACCCTGAAGCACATCTCCATGCGATTGAAGTCTGTCAAGAATATCCAGAAGATCACCCAATCCATGAAGATGGTGTCAGCTGCCAAATACACTCGCGCTGAACGTGACTTGAAACAGGCCAGGCCCATTGGTGAGGGATCCAAGCTCTTCTATGAGAAGGCTGAAATTGAATCACCAGTTGAGAAGCCAAAGAAGCTCATCATTGCTGTCACCTCTGACAGAGGTAAGTGAATACATGTGATTTTGTAGCAACTTTTTTTTTAATGCTTTCTAATTAGGTCTGTGTGGTGCTGTGCACACCAGCATTGTCCGTCAAATTCGTGGTGAATTGAGCAATGATGCAGATAACATCAAAGTTGTCTGTGTTGGCGACAAGTCTCGTGCCATCTTGCAACGTCTTTACAGCAAGAACATCATCCTGGTAGCTAATGAAGTGGGTCGTTTGCCACCTACTTTCAATGACGCTTCCAAGTTGACCGCTGCCATCCTCAACTGTGGCTACGAATTTACCAGCGGCAAGATCGTCTACAATCGCTTCAAGTCTGTAGTGTCTTATTCCACCCAAGAAATGCCACTGTTCAGTCTTGAATCAGTTCAGGTATATATGAAAACATTAATTGGTGATAATTATATAATAAACTTTGTTGCTTTTTTCAGGCTGCGCCAAAATTGTCTGTGTACGATTCTTTGGACGCTGATGTCATCCAGAGCTACTTGGAGTTCTCTTTGGCTTCGTTGCTGTTCTACGCCATGAAGGAAGGTGCTTGCAGCGAACAATCCTCTCGTATGACTGCCATGGACAACGCTAGCAAGAACGCCGAAGAAATGATCGGCAAACTCACTCTCACATTCAATCGTACCCGTCAAGCTGTAATCACCAGAGAATTGATTGAAATCATCTCCGGTGCTTCCGCTCTTTAAATACATTTAAAAAATAAGGAATGGTCTTCGTTGCGAGTGATTGTAGAATTAATTCATTGATTTGTTGCGCCCGCAGCGGGACCACACAACATCAGTACCTATTGCTGCACGATATGTAAAAGTTGTTCAGGAATGAAGCAAAACCTAAGCCTAAAATCACTGGATGTCATCAATAATTGTTCTTTTTCTCTGATTGCCTGTTACATATTGTGTTTCTATGGTGTTCTTATTATAATAATAATAATAATGTGGTAATAAAACGAAATTAAGTTTAATTTTGCACAACTTCTAATCATCTTGTAGAATATAGTATTGTTATAAATAGTTAGCTATATCTAATGATTTAGACTAAAATCATTAATCAATGTTTCAACAGTTACTTGGATAACATGTATAACAATATATCATCGACTTGCACGATGCAATAGATTTTAATTAATTTGGTCTGAGTTTCGAACTCTCGTATTGAATTTTCTGATAAAGCCGATCTTACGCTATAAGCCGCCCTAATCTAATTGGAATCTATAATAAAATATGGATATGGATTACGAAGTGAAATAAAATAGATTTTTTTAGCTGAGTAACAAACCAATTTTGTTAAATATAGAATTTAAAAGAGACATCTGTAGTTCAAATAAGTTATATTTATTCTATCTGACACATGCATTCCACGGTGAATTCAAACATAACCTAAATTTAACCAACGAAATCGATAAAAAAATATAAGTTTCAATTATTATTAGCTCCGATTAACTCAGAATGAGTTCTAATTATTTATCCCACCTGAACCAGGTAGCTACTTTCATGAAGGTGCCTCCAGGAAAGCTGACGTTGGGAATCAATAACGTAATGTATTTATAACAGCTGGTCCATATAAATTATAAATAACGTTAAATGTTTAGGTACCTATGCATAGCCATGAAGGTAAGACGCACCGGGGTTTCCTGAACATCCTCTACAGCTACCTTCCCCATTCTACCAAGAATCTTGCTGGTGAAACTTCTGAGGAGAAAGCTGAGCTTTATCAATGGCTCGAGTACAGTCTTATTTATGTATCACAGAGCCCATTGCATTACCTGTCTGTAAGTAATTTAGTAACTGTTAAGATGGTGAAGTTAATTGTATCTGTTTTAAGGAAATTAATGAATTCTTGACAACAAGGACTTATTTTGTGGCTCAGACTTTAACTATTGCTGATGTTCTTTTATATTACATTTTATACAATGTCATGGTGAGTTAATTATATTGTGTATCCTGCAGTATCTTTATTTGTTTGATATTTAAAGTGTACAATGTGCAATTTGGAAAAATCCAAATATAGAGAAATAAAACACTGATAAATTTTACTTTAAGTATACAAACAAATATTGCATGTGTGCCTAATCATTACAATTAGATTAGCAGTAGCATTTCTTAGGTCAGTTGACTGGGTGATTGCCCAGGTCCCAGACAGTTATGGCCCCTTAAATCAGATTTTACCCACACTTTTTTCTATGAGAATTTTAAGATTTTATAGAATATATTTATTTTTAATGATAATAATAATATTTATTGCAATAATAAATTGCAACATAAAAAAAACTTAACACAATAACAAAAATTAAATAAAATTCAACTATTGTAAAGGGCTGTTGATCATGGTTATTTCTCTCTTATTACTTTTTATTTACTGAGGGCTTCATATTAATTCCAGGGACCTTAAAATTTACACTGTAGTTTAGTATAAGTATTGTAGTTGAAAATAATGTAATTTTATGATTTACGTTTATAGGAGAATCTAACTTATTTGGAGAAAGAGAAGTACATCAATTTGTCGAGGTGGTTTGACAACATGCAGCAGAATCCTGAATTGAGGCAGAAGAATAAACTCGTCGACTTCAATACGAACTATTTGGCTGCGATATCCCCAGCCAGACACTAAATTGCATAAACTAAATAGAACATAACTTAACTTATTGAGATAAATAAATATAGCATTTATGTACTTTTATCTATATAAAATATTTTACTACATCTATCAGTAAATCGCATGACCTACAAAGCGTTGCGAGGGATATGCATTTCAATTAGATAAATGCAAAAGGTCACGCTATAAAATTGTACTAATTTAACATACGAGAAACATCCTCATTGTGTATCATTCCAAAACAGATTATGTTTTTAAATTTTGTTTGAAGGCCAGTAACAAATAAATATTCAGATCTCGATCCCGAATATGTAATTAATTTCTTCAAAGTGGACGCACTTACATAACAATCATAATGATGTAACACTATTTGGAAGTGTGTGCGTAAGTGATAATGCACGCAGCTGATGAATATAAAAGGCGATCGGAGATCGAAGAGCTGCTTCAGTCATGGATTCGCTACGAAACGATTTAGATCCTCTGGTCCAGCTGATAGTGAAGAGCGAGAACATAGTCGATCCGCAAGTGCATATCAATGTTGGATCGCAGAAGGGCGATGGTTATGTCGCTATCGGCAAGGCTTTGGACATCGTAGGGACAAACAAAACGGTAAATCTGTTCTTGAAGCTGGCACCGGAAGGGGAGAAGGTACGAGAGTCCGGAGTTGTTCGATCCGCTTTCGAGCAGGAGATCACTTTCTACGAGGAGATTATGCCAAGCATGAAGCGCTTCGAAACTGAAAATGGTATACAGGACACTTTCACGAGCGTCCCCAAATGCTATTGGTCCAATTTGGAAGAGGGTAAAGAGACGATCGCCATGGAGAATTTGAAGAAGGTCGGATACGAATTGTGGGATAGGCAGAAGGTGATGAATCCCGAACATATCGAATTCGTGTTCAAGGAGTACGCGAAATTCCATGGGATTTCATACGCGATGAAGCGCAAAGATCCAAAACTCTTCAACAGTCTGACGGCCAAACTGAACGATTTACTTTACGAATTCATGGATACTATTAAGATGATCGATTTCATCGAAAAGATGGCCATGAAACTGATCGACATTTTCGATCCTATTGAAGAGAAGGAAATCCGCGAATGGTACGTCGACTTCGTGGAAAACACTCGTCAACAATATTGCGACGTTTTGAAAGTCGATGATCAGCACGTCATCACTCATGGGGATTGCTGGTGCAACAACATGCTCTTCAAATATAAGGTAAACAAGTCTTATGTAACAAATGTTTAACATAATTAACGTATTCTATTGAAGGACAATAGAAAACAATTCTTGAGCGAAAAATCTATGTTATATTGAAAATACCGCATAATATTGATTTAGATACAGTCGATTTCTCTTAATTGGGACATACTCTTATTAGGGACAAATCCTGAAGAACGGAAACAAAACCGAGCATATAAAAATTAGAAGTGGAAATTGGGATAATTTGGCCAGCCCAATTATCGGAATCGACTGTATTTTCAAGTTGCTTAGTTGACGATGTACGTATTTGCGGATTAAAGTAATTAACTGACCTTGACTCACGACACTCAGTATCCATAAAAAGTAATTGATAACATCTGCATTCTATTAGTTATTAGCAGTTATTACATTAGATGACTAAAAATGATTATAAATTTATCATTTCATATACTATGAAACATGAATTGAGTATGATTTCCGCAACTGTTTTTGCTGAAATCAAATTTATGTAAATATGTTAATTGGCAATAAATAATTATTACAAATTACGTTAATAATAAAATAAGTGACTATAAAATTTTTATTGTGTTTGTTCAATTGATCTTTCTCGTTGAGTTCGAAAGTTTGTAAAATGAATGTTTTTGAAGTCATTTTGGAATTTTTTTTATCTATAATATTAGTTAGCTGATGCTTTTATTTATGTGATCTTATAAAGATCATGAACTAATGCAGTTTTTGAAATTATTTTAATAATAATTTACTATATGAAAATATTGTTTTTGTACGAATATTTATATAATACTTAATTGGGACACCGGTTATTTGGGATAGCCGCTTATTAGGGACGAAACAAAACTAAGGAAATAACACAATTGTAATCCGCTTTTCGGGACAATAACCCGGGATGGGATGGTTGTGTATGCGCGACATGTCCATGCTCATGGATTGACGTGGATGCTGAGCTTGAACCGCATCCACCGCATCAATGGACGAACCGCTCGTGATACATATTTATTGTTCCAGAATTTATATCATATATAATACGTATACATTTTTTAATATGTATGCCTTGTTTTATTTTGTAAAATTTATTTAATAAAATATTAAAAAAACAATAATCATTAACTATTTTTTTGTGGAACTTCGAATAATTGGGCATTCGACACAATTGTTGCATTCATTCCTGCATTAATATTTAACTAATTCATATTTTTGCTTATAGTTTACTAATATACATCGAGTACTTTGATATTTCTATTTAATACATATTGTTTCTTTGTCCTTTCAAGGAAAACGATAAAACAGTGCCAGAACAAATGCGACTGCTGGACTTCCAAGTAGTTCGTAAAGGATCTTTAGTGCAAGACTTATCTTACTTCTTCTATACCGGAGCATCAAATGAATGCATTGAAAATTACGAATATTATTTGAAACTGTACCACAAACATATAAACCAGTACGTGCAACAGTACGATGGTATAACAGACGAAATATTAACATATGAAGATTTGATGAACCAATGGAAGACCTTTAGCAAATACGGCATGATTATGACTATCCTAGTTATCAAGCTTATGCTCAGCGAAAGTGAAGAGAGGAAAGATATGTCAGATATGAGCGAAAACTCCGAAACATTGTTTGAATTTTTCGATTTTGAGGGAAAGAACGATAGGGAATACAGACGGAGAGCAAAGATAGTCATAGAGCATTTTTACAAAAACAAATTTGTCAGTTTGAACAAATAAACTTGGTTAATGAAACAAACTTTTTTTTATTATTTTTAATACATTTTGAATTATTTACTTTTAATAACACAATTTTGTTGCTTTATGTCACGTATTTTCGCTAATATGCACATTTTAATTAAGAATTATATACAAATACATCTTCTAAACACCATTAAAGCGTATATTTATAATTTAAAACTACTTCTTAAATACATATAAGAACACTACAATTAACATTATCTATTTGAAAACGCACATATGGTTGTTTGTACATATTTGTTCATTCAAAAAAAAACATAATTAATTACTTGTCTCTTTGTTTAGGATTTCAATAAGATTACTCCGGAGGCGATGCGTCTCTTGGACTTTCAAATAGTGCGTAAAGGATCTTATGCGCAGGATCTTTCCTATTGCTTTTACACTGCATCGTCCAAAGAGATGATAGATAACTACGAATATTACTTGAAACTTTACGTGAAACATTTTAACGAGTACGTTCAGCAGTACGGAATTGACGACCCGTTGAGTTACGAGGATTTCTTGGCCCAATGGAAGAAGTACAGTAAACACGGCTTATTTATGTCTATCATCGGTATTAAAATCATGATCTGCGAGAGCGAGGAGAGGAAGGATTTCACCGACATGGACGATTCTGCTGATATGTTCGATTGCTTTGATTTCGAAGGAAAGAACGACGCGGAGTACAGAAGAAGGGTTAAATTGATCATTGAGCATTTCTACAAGAACAACTTCTCCTTCTCAAAATAATGTTGAATTCTTAATTGAATAATTTTGTTTATTTGTAACTAATATGTTTTTAGTTCTATTTTGTACAAAGAAAAACTTTCAGCTCAAAATTAATTAATGTTAAATATTCAATTATGTAGCAATACATAATTTCTGTTAAATTACCAAACATTAGATAAGTAATAAATAGATGAATTTTATTTTATTTTTTATTTAATATATACAGCCTTGTAGTCGATAGCCTTTTGATTACACGATAATAAACCCACTTTATTGCAAATAATTGAGAGTAATTTGATCATGTAGTATTTTTTTTAGGGATTGCGTATAGAGCATAAAAAAAAATTGATAAAATGCTTTTAGAATGGAGCTGGTATCAGTTTAGTGATGGCTTTGCAACAAGAAGTTTTGGATCTTCTCGTGAGAGAAGTGGCAGATGTTGAGGAGATCTATGATCCTCAGGTGCAAATCTATAAAGGATCATCAAAAGGAGATGGTTATGTCACCGTCACCAAATCATTGGAAATCGCCGGAAAGAACAAAACGGTCCATCTATTCATTAAAATAGCGCCGAGCGGAGTGATGATGCGTAAGAGCGGTATGATCCAAGCGGTCTTCGCACAAGAAATCCTCTTCTACGAGAAACTAATGCCAACACTGATAGAGTACCAAATCGACAACAACATTCAAAATAGTTTCATGAGCGTACCAAAACCCTTTTGGTGCTGCAGCGAAGAAGGTAAAGAGGTGATTGCTTTGGAGAACTTGAAAATTGCTGGTTACGAACTGTGGGATAGGCATAAGGCCATGAACCGCGAGCACATCGAATTCTTGTTCAAAGAATACGCGAAATTCCACGGAATATCTTATGCAATGAAATACAAAGATCACGATGGATTTGAAAACCTCACTTCCGATATCAAGGATTTGTATGCGGTATTTGTGGACATAATCAAATTTGATGAATTCGTCGAGAAATCGTGCAAGGATTTAATCAATATTTTCGATGAAGTCAACGATAGAGACAAGCACGATTGGTACGCGAATTTCGTTAGAAACGTCCGGAAACATTATGAAGATGTGTTAAAAATCGACGAAAAATGTGTGATAACTCACGGCGATTGTTGGTCCAATAATATGCTTTTTAAGTATAAGGTATAAAGAAGTAGATTAGATTTGAAAAGCAAACTGCAGTGTTACTGTTGATGTGCTATCTGTTTTATTGCCACTTCAACTTTATTTGCATATAAAAATAAAATCATTTAAAATCAACAGAGAATATTATAATTAAGTTTAACGTTATTTTCTCTTTAAGGATAACGACTATACAGTACCGGAAAGCATGCGGTTATTGGATTTCCAGCTGGTTCGTAAGGTATCCCCGGTTCAGGATCTTTGTTACATCTTTTATTCTGGAGCGACGAACGAAATCCTAGAGAATTACGAGTATTACTTAAGATTGTATCATAGATACTTGATGGAGTATTTGCGGCAGTATAAAATAACCGAAGAAGTAATTAGTTATGAGGATTTGCTAGATCAATGGAAGAAGTACAGTAAATTTGGTTTGATCATGTCCATAATTGTCATCAAAGTTAAGCTCACCGATAGCGATGAAAGGAACGACATGAACGATGGCACGGATAGCGTCTTGGATTGTTTTAACTTTGTTGGTAAGAAGGATCATGAATATAAGCGTAGGATTAAAATGATATTGGAACATTTTTACAAAAATAATCTGATTTCACCGCTAAGCAATTGATTTGTAGAGTTTAAATTCCTGTATGTTTGAATAAATACTTATAATAAAATTATTTATAATTCATTTTCTATTTTAAAAATATATGTACAAATATTTCCTGTTACAATCACACTTCGTTTAACCTGACAAATTCCGTAATGTTATGCTTCAATCATATACATGTAATATAGAAAGGATATTCAAGGCGTAGATTACCATAAGTTGAACATTTGGAAGAAATAGCTCTTAGACAAAGTTAAAGTTGTATTTCTTTCAGCAAACATAACTTTCGATTTAATTATTAAAGCTTATTATCTGCATCGAACATTCAGCAATTTAATTGAACTAGAAGATAAATAGTTAAAAGTACAACAAACGCAGTTGAAAATATTGATAGTTATTGGAAAGAAATACTTAAATTGGCGTAAAATATAGCTAAATGTTGTACTAGAAAAAGTAAATAGCATGTAATAAATTAGGACAATAGGTAATCCAGATGGATAGAAAATGTTCATGAAGAGAATGTTAATAATTTATTGAATGCAAAAGATGATTTTGACTTTAGACCTTACAATGTGATTTCACGTTGCTTTATCTGCTTTTCTGCTTTTGATAAAGGTATTCAAGAATATGTTTATTGATTTTTAATTATTATAAATTCGCAATTGACTTGCTTTAAAAATTATATTATTTATTACAATTATCGGTTTTTATTGAGTACATTTATGTAGTCATTTGATTTTAGTTTCCACTGAACATTGATCAAAATATTGTAAATTACAAAGTTATGGAAATATATTTGTATTTTTTGTATTTCAATTTGACAATAAATTTTTTTAAATTTATTCAATACCCGAAATTCTATTACCTTGACTAACATGTGAATGCAGTATTTATTAAATTTTTAACTTATAATTTATGCACGTTATAAGAAATTCCTACAGCAAAGTTTTTAAGTAAACATCAGATGTGTATTATATTTTTTTTAACACCCTGTATGTAAGAAAATTTCCATGTTTTCAAATTGTTTACAAAACACCACATCCATAAATCTAGTTGGAAAACAAGCGTGAAATGCAGTAGGATGAAAAGAGAATGGATTTTGTTTTATTCTTTTTTTCTGCATCGTGCCTCCTTTGTTATTTCTTTCAATTGCTGCAATTTGATTAGCAACTGCGGCTGATGAATAATGTCGATCTTAAATGATGATAATCGATGCACAATAAATTATGCCTCTCTATTTTTTTAAATTCTAAATGCATAGTTTAATTACCATTTACCTATATAAATGATCTGGATGATCGGGATTCATTTAATAGCTGGTGTTACCATCGAAACGTACTACCATCATGAAATACCTACATGTGAGTCAATTTAAAAAAAATCCAATACATTTTTTTTATAATTAATTAATTTAATTAACAAATAGTATAATTTTTGGATTTCCTGCTTTAACTAGATTTATTTTTGTTGTGAATGCTTTTAGGTTACTGTTTTTCTTTGTTTCGTAATTGGAAATATTGCGTTAACGATCCGCGAGTCTAGGAAGTCACCGCAAATGAAAATAGAAAAGTGCGTATTATTTTTTGAATTAAAGTAGATAGCGATAGTTAATGCAATAATTATATGTTATAGTCAAGAGGATTTGGATAAAATGGAAGGCGAGAAATTGGAAGGATCCGAATCTGCGTACATTCCGTATTATGGATTTCCCTATTATCCCTATTCTATTTACAAACCATACTTGCACCATCATTATCCTGTCGTCTACGTTGGAAAATAGATGAAAACTGCAAAAAAGTATATAATCTAATAATTATAAAATAGCATAATACGTTTGTAACAAACTAGTTGAATAGTGATAAATATAATTAATTCAGCATAGATTTTGCGTTTTTTTTTTACTTAGTTTGTTCCCGGCGCATACATAATACATGTTGAATATTTGATGTCATTTTTTTAAATTTTTATTTTATTTACTCAATTAAATAAAAGAAATATAATTACTAGAAAAAATAAACGTGGTAGTTTTGAACATTATAGTTTTCTTCTAAATAGTTTCTTGCATATTGTATATTCTTTTTATATGTATTTTTAATTTTATATTTATTTTTATGTCGCCCCATATCGCGTACCATTCATGATAATAGGAGTATTATAAAATACAACCTTATAAAGAAACAAATCCATACAAATACAATCGGATTTGTCCCTATTTTTATAAAATAATACAATTGTTAGGTTTTGAAATTTAGAATGTCTTATATTATAGAATAAATTTATATAATTAATTATATATTTAAGTTTTATCATTTATCTATTTGAATTTTTATTGGAATTTTAGTCGATATTTTTTTCTGATCTCCTGTTTTCATACTGTTCTCTTTTAGTACTATTCTGTTTTATCACTGTTCTGTTTCAGTACTATTCAATTTTGTCGCTATTTTGTTTTGTCCTGTTCTCTTGTATGATGTTCTGTTTTATCATGTCCTATGTCACGTTCTGTGCTGATGAGTTCTGTTTGGTCCGGTTACCGTATGTTAGGAATGTATTGTTTTCTTAGGTTGGTATTCAGATTATTGCTTGATTTAAAAAGTGTAGGTAGAAAGTGACGGTTAGACATTCGAATTGATTCGAAAGATTTTGTTAAATATCTTTCTGCATTCATACTTAAAGTTCCAAGATGAATATGGAACCGCCAGTTCGTGATATTAAGATCTCGTACCTTAGGGCCCGTGACCCCAGTATAATGGCATGGGGTGGAATGAACATTGAAAATGTGAAATGTAATTTACAGAACATGATGAATGAGACACATCAGGAAAATGTAAGTTTTTTTTTGTTTCATCAATTTTCTTGTAACACTTACATTTTTAGGGATCAGATAATTCAATACAAGTGTATCTGCGGATAAAGAATGGTGAGCTGGGTGATTTGTACCATATGAACAGTAACATTCTTGTCTGTAATATACCTCAAAATTGCCATGCTAACAGGCATGCCAAAGATGGACAGCGGATTACAAGAAAGTTTACATTTTCTCGGATATTTCCACCTGATTCAACTCAACCAGATATATTTAATGCTGTAGTTAAACCGAGAATCTTTAATTTTATTAATGGTGTGAATTGTACTCTGCTAACCTATGGAGCCTCTGGATCAGGTAAATATTTAAAATAGGAAAACAGAGATAGAATTCATAATCAAAGCATTTTAGGGAAGACCTTTACTATTGTTGGTTCTGGAACTGAACCAGGACTAATACCAAGGGCACTGGAATATGTGTTTAAAACATTGCCCAAAATGCCTGTTGTACCTGAAATAAAACCCACACCATCTGGTATAAAGTGCAAAAGATTAACACATTCACAAAGTCAGGAAGAAGTTGATATTTTATATCATTTAATGAATGATTCAAATGCTTCTACAAAACAAATGCACACAAAAACATATCAGTATGTATTGGATAATAAATATGTTGCATAGTGTATTCAATTAATGATTTCAGTACAATGCAGCAAAGATTAAGTACAGAGCCTGTAGCTACTTTGGAGGATGTGGGATCATTGTCATTAGGAATTTGGGTTTCCTTTGCTGAAATCTATAATGAACAAGTGTTTGATTTATTGCAAACAGTCAATGGCAAAGTTAGGAAAAACTTAAAATTATGCAACAATAATGGAATTACGTTCATTAAAGAATTAAAGCAAATATACGTTTCGTCCGGGTTAGAGGCGTATCAAATTTTACAATTGGGGTTGCAAAATTTAAAATATGCTTCTACGTCGGTGAATTCGCATTCGAGTAGATCTCATTGCATCTTCACATTGAAACTGATACAAGTGGGAGAATCGGATGTACGTATTTCAAATGATCGAATGTCGTTTGATTTTTAATTATGAGAAATGTTTCTATTTTGTAGAATGACATTTGTGTGAGTCATTTTAATTTTTGTGACTTGGCTGGATCGGAGAGGAGTAAAAAAACTAATAATGTCGGTGATAGATTGAAAGAGTCGAATAACATAAACAATTCATTGCTGGTTCTGAGTAGATGCATGAGCATGATGAGGAATGCTCAGAGAGCGAACGAGAAAAAGTTGGTGCCATTCAGAGAATCGAAGCTGACGCAGCTGTTTCAGAGGGCACTATGTGGACAGGAAGATATTGCCATGATTGTAAATATGAATCCCATTCCAGATATGTTCGATGAGACTATGCACGTCCTGAATTTTTCCGCTATAGCTAAGGACATTATCGTTGAACAACAGTTGACAAAGAAAGATAGGTTGTCTCGTAACATGGAGAAGATTAACTCTGAGGAGATTGTGGAGATTGAACGTTTAAGGGATACAGTAAGTTCTCTGATTTTGGAACTGCAAGACGAGAAAATGAAGAGCATCGAGACTGATAAAGAAACTCGGTCTTATTTGATTAAAGAATTTTCTAAAATGATGGATGACATAAAGGAGGAATATGAGAATAAGTGAGTGTATTTTTTCCATGCTTTAATTTATTTTTATAATATATTTTTTTAAATTAGGATTGAAAATTACGAGTGTCAGATTGAAGACTTGAATGAAGAATGTGGAAGGCTGAGTAAGAAGCGTAGGAGAAGCGAAGCCGCAAATACCTCGATTATTTGTCTTGATAATTCTGATGTGGGTCATCAGAATTTAGAACTAATTAACCTGCAGCACGAGGTAACGATTTGTTTGTTCGTATATTGATTTTATTAATAATTTATTAAAATTTAGTTGAAAAAAATGAAAGAGAAAAATGCTTCTTTGGAAGAAAGAGTGAAATATGTTGAGGAGGAGCTGAGAGATGCTACTGCCGAAATAGCAGAGAAGAAGTCTGAGATTAGTAGCCAAGCGGCACAAATTATTAGCATGAATGAGGAAATATCAACGTTAGAGGCACTCGTTAGAAACAATGTCGCTACTACACCTGAATTATCCGAATCCGATACGGACGATGTTGATCTTTAGAAAACTTAATTTATATTATGTGTTCGTTTTACTGTTAAATTTAAGAGTATTACAAATTATAGTTTTAATATATAAATAACGTCTCTTTGATTTCCCCAATTGAACCACATCTCAATCTTGAGGTGAATTTATATTTTCAAACTTTGTTGATTTGTTTTAAACTTGATTACACGGTACAAAAGTATGAAAATAATATGATAGGAGAGTCTTATTCAATATACCTAAAATAATTTTTGAGAAAACTTGACAGAGTGGAAATTCTATTATAGTCTATGATAAACATAGCTAGATTGAAGTAAACAAATTCAGAATATTATATATCCAAGATCAGTTAAATAACATTAAATACAATTTTATAAATAAAATTAGGAACAAAAATACAAGAGACATATTGACAATTAAATATTGAATCAATTAGTTAAATCATCATTTTCCAAGCTTGTACACTTGTAGCTATACTTCCACGATACACTTAAATTATGATTATGTTTTAATTTTGATATGTCGCGGCTCATTGGCTCGCGACTCACCGATTAAATAATCATCTGTTGGAATTTGCAATGTAAACATTAATTATTACTTTTTTATTAAAACTTTGGTATTGAGTATATGTAGAGAATTATTTTATAAAATAATTTGAAAAATATGAGAGGTGATAATAAAATAAGCATTTTAAATTTAAAAACATTTTACAAACGTTGATTTACAATTTTAAATATATGAGTAAGTAATAATGAAGATTTATTTATTTTACACATGTCACATGTATAATGTTTAGAATACTTTTTTTACTCATTTGCAATATTGAAAATGTTTTAGTTATTTTATAAAAAATGTTTGTTTTCAATTCATGCCAGTCAATTATTTTAATAGTCGCCTGTATTAAGAAAAGGTCCTTGGTATAATCCTAAAGAAAAAACAACAAAATTACATTTTTTTTCTCGGGATGTCTGCTCTTCAAAAATCGAGCCAAGTTTCCTCATGAGCCATTAATATTCACTTTATTGTAAATATGTTTACTTGCTTATTGATAATAAACATACAGAAACACGAATTATTCTAAATGCGCGAATGTACTGAATTTTGATGAACATATCCGTTGACAAATAATAAGCAAATAGGAGTTTAAGGATAAACAAATGAATTACGTAAATTGGGCTCTTTGAAGAGAGCTTCCTGCGATTATGTATGACAGGTTAATGTATTTGCGTAATTATATGATTGGTTATAAAGAGCAAAGAAATTGGATGAGGGAAGAATTGCTATTGCGATGTTGATGTTGAATTACGTTCTGTTGGTTTGCGCGGCGCTGTGCATAGCCAAAGACGAGATTAATCTGAAAAACGCGACGGCTAAAGAGGATAAGGAGAAGAGCAAGAGTTTGGATCATCCTCTGAGGACGGAGGTGAGGAAGTATTTGAAGGAGTGCGGAGCGGATGTATCTGATGGGGATGAAAGTTCCGAGGAGGAGACTAAAGTAGATCGGATGGATGTGAGGAGACGCGGAACTTATCCGGAGAATTACTCTGCTTGGTACGAGGAGAACCAAAAGAAGAACAAGAGGAAGTTAAGGGACGTCACGTTGTTAGACAGGAATCGCTCAAAGTTTGACGGTTACAGGGATCGCAATAACCGTCGAGGAAACAAGAACAATCAGTACGATGATTACGAGGATGGAGACAACGACGATGAAGGTGGCTGCAACAGTGGCAACGGAAATAATCGGAATAACAGAAATCGCGGTAGGAACAAGAATAGAAATGGAGGTAACAGAAATGGAAATCAGGATAGGAACAGGAACAAAGGAAACAACAATAACAAGAATAACAGGAACGAGTACAATAGGTATGATCCTTATGGTAATAGGTACGATGGGAATGAAGATTTCGGTTTGTACGGTTGGGGCTCCAATCGTGGTTACAGTTTGTACGGTGGAAGGATGATGCTGTTACCGAACAGAACTGAAGAAAACGCAAGAACGAAGAGACATAACGACGACGATTTTCAGGTAATAATAAACCATTAATTGATCTAAGTTAAACACTTTACTAAAACATTATTTTAGTGCTTAAGCCAATGCGTGTTCGGGTATCTCGGAATGGTAATCATTGACATTCTAAGCCGCAAATAAAATTATTTTTATAAAATTTGCTTTATAGTTGGACGATGATCGAGTTCCGTCGGAAACTGAATTAACGAAATTCATACAGAACAGCGTCCAAAACAGCTCGAAAAGAATGCAGGCAATCAGAGACGCTCGCAGGTGTTTTGCAACTCTATCCGCCTCAGGTATAAACCAAAAATGAACATCTCTTCGCTCAATAACAAATACATTTTTTCAGATACTGAAGATGGTTGCAAATTCTCCAAGTTATTAGGCAATTGCTTGAAACTGGAAATTCCAGATTACAGTTAAAACAAAAATCGATGATATCGAGCATTGTAGAAGGACTACGAGACATATTCAAAATAAATAAATAATCAAATATATTTAATATTATTTTCTTGTGAATTAAACTTATTACCTATAATTCACTTGTTTATCGGTTGTCGCGTAAATAAGATTTGGTAATCGACTGCTTTACTATTAATGGCTTTGTGATGAGGTTTTCGCGGAGAATCCGCAATAAATCGTTGCATGTGTCATAAATTGTGCAATTTTTGGATACAAAGTGTTTTCTGTTGTGTCTGCTAATTCTGTTAGTCGCAAATAAATCTCGACTGTGTTTGTATAGTCGGTTGGAAATTCTTGAAGAATGTTTTGCATTTATTGTCAACAGTCTATTGCAAAAAACGTTTAGCAAATTTAGCATTGATTGAGTAGAATGCACATCGAATATACACTTACTTATTTACAGACAATGGGACAATGATTGGAAATTTCGTAATTTTCGCCTTGGGCATTATTTATAGTCGCGTTGTATTCCCGGTATTATCTTAATTAGTACGAAACTAATTCCCACTGAATGAAATCTATTCAATGGTAATTCCATTTCCATTTCAATTATGTCATCTTTTTTAAACAATTTAAATCGTTCATATTTCACGGGGTAAATGAGTTAACATGAATTCAAAGATTTTTTTGGCTTGTGAAAATATGCAATTAGATTAAATATAAAAAAAAACGGATTGCGGCTCTCTTTGGCGTTATATGTGCCCACAAAAAATGTGAGCAAAACAAGTATTATATGTGTTTAACGCTTCTTTATTAGAAATGAAAAAAATAGTTTTCGTCTTATAATTTGATCTAAAAACACGAAATTATTTTCCGAACAAACTATAATAAATATTTTATAAATTAATACGTTTTTTTTTAATAAAATGGGCATATATTAAACAACAAGGGCAACTAATACCTGAATGTTTAAGACGCCCTACCCACGGCCTTTTGTGAGCCTTCTCGGTGCTTGCAGTAATAGGGTCATCATGAATGGATAGTCAAATGAAAGAGGTTCAGTATATGGACCTTCAGCCAAGCCGATGGACAATGACAATGTTAAGGATAGCAGCAGATACACAGACAAAGGGAATAGTGGAATCGCGGCAATATACTGAAGTTAACCTACAAGACGGTAGCCAACCAACAAATTACAGAAGAATATAATAGTAAAAACTTCCATTGGGAAATTTACCAAAAAAAGCAAAATGTCTAGCGCCATTAGATGTAATTAATATTCGCAGGAATAAGATTGTAAATGAAATATACTATGACATAATAAAAAAAAATAAACATCATCATACAATATTACTATAATGAAAAGTTGAAACAATTTGTTACATTTATGTAAATAACGCAACTTTACATCAATACCTCGCTTTGGGCGCCTTAAATTAATAGAATTCCCAATAGGATAAAAAATTTAAAAAAACATTTGTTTATTATTTAACCTATTTATTGGCCAAATGTATGAAGACGATGTTTTTTCGACAAAATTAGTACACAATCCTATAGGCCAAAAATTGTTAAATAATAGTACACTCACTTTTCTTCTTTTTTCCTTTCAAACAGTTCGGAACCGGACCCACACTATTGCAGTATTTTATTTATCTATTTGCAATAGATATAAGCATTAATTATTTTTAATTAAATAAAATAAACGTATTTTTTTGCATTAAAAAGAAATACACAATTTTCGACAATATAATATTTTAATTTATTTAACGTAATGTAATCGATATATTTATTTGTAAATCACTCTTATAGGAGCTTAAAACAAGATACTATATTAATAATGACGGGATTATTATCGTATTAAATGTAAATTACATAAATATTGAATTTGAATTTAAAAAAAACACGATTTTCCTTATTACGTTAAGAAAAATAAAGAAATTTCATGAGATTAAAGTTGTCTACTGAAGTTATTGAATCGATTTGTTGAATACCGTATCAATTGTCCACTTTAAGAATAAAATTAAAGAAATTCATGCATAAAATCGAAAAAATACATTGAAAACGCGACAAGTCGGCAACGGACAAGTGGGCGACTGATACTTTAAAATAAAATTTTAACAATTTGCTTATTATAATAACAATAATTTATTAGCTATATAATAGAACATATATAAAAAAAACAAAATCCAATTTTCAATAAAAAATTGAAAATAAATCAAAAATAAACTCAAATATGAAGAATCTTTACATATTTTGTTTTATTATGGAATTTTTATAATTATTTTTATTTTATTTTTGCTATACATCAAATTTATGTTATATTCTTTTATCTGGCTAAAAAAATATTTATTTTAAAGTGTGGGCGACTTGTCCGTACTTACATGCGTACCCAAAATAACATAATCCAGCAGATCAGAAGGGACACCGACAACCTTTATTTTATCATCCTCAAAAGCTTTGTCAACAAGCAATTCATTTATGTCGGTAACAACAGTTGGAAAAATTAATTTGAATAGAAAATAGAAAAAAAGAATATGAAAAATTATACATTATTTGAGAAATATTAAAAAAAGGAACTTTTCAAATACAAACTACACTGTATTCTCTTCAAGATAAATAAAAAATAATTACATAAATATGAAATATATTAGAGATAATAAAGCAAATTTACTTCAAGTTCAATATTAATAATGTATACGAAAACACGATTTGCAACTTTTCAGCGAAATTTAATCTCACTCGCAATGCGAAAGAATTCACTTTTATTTTCAACGAGTCGAGATGCGGAGGAATGTAAATATTATTTGCTCGATTCACAATTACCGTCTGGAATTGCAGGCCAGACGCAACCAAGGCCAACTCTACCATTCAAGAAAAGACAAATCGATGCTACATCGTTCCTTGCATTTTACGCATTTCTTTTTTCGGACTCATTAACCGACTGCTCCAGATTCCATCTTCCTCAGTTTTTTTTGATTGCGCATAATTGCATAATCGAATGTATAAGGAAACACAGTTAAGTAACTGTAACCACTTTGTCGAATGTTATACACGTATAGACACGATTTTCGGTTGTGGGCGTTTTTTTGACCATTTACGAAATGGATTTTTCTTTTATTGGGAGATCTTTACGTACAGTTATCTTGATGAGATATCTATTACATTGAAATGGAATGTTGATGAGAATCTCGTTAGAATAGGAAATTTGTTGCTTGCACATTTTGTAACGTTTTTATTTAAGCATATTACTTAAAAAAGATTATAAAATTACTTGAATTTTTATTTATTCAGTCATTTATTTTCTTATAAAATAAAATGACCATAAAATAACGTGCTAAAAATACATGGAAAACTAATTTTGCACTCAAGGAAATGAAATTATAGCCTTAGGTGCAAATTAACACAAACATTAATATAGGAAATCATTTCGTTTTTTACGTATTATATTTATTTCAATCATGTGATTTATTTACGAATATTATTACTCTAGTAACTTCAATTTCTCAAAATATAGAAAATCAATTACTAAAAAACTAAACAGTTCTGAAAAACACAAATAATAAAATAAAAATAAAACAATAATAAGTTACAAGGACAATAATAAAAACAACGCCGAGATGTTATTTGAAAATATAATTTAATGGAATAATTGAGAAGAAAAAAATGGAAACTGTTTTATAATAATGAATGCAGATGAAAATTTATTTTGATATTAATCTAAAGTAGATTTATAAAAAAAAAGATTATTTGCTGTTACAGAAACTGCGCAGTTTTATATACAATTAGAGTGCTTATCAAGCACCTCGCATAACGAGCATTTCATTTACCAAATAAAATGACTCGCTTAAAAGCGACGTTTCGCATAACGAGTGACGATGAGAAGAGAAGACCCCGGATTGCACGCCTGCTACATCATTTTTAAAACTTAAAATATAGATTTCAAATAATTAAATATTATGTTAAGAAAAAAATAGAAAGAAATATTTGTTAATAGATGTAGTAATTATGAGAAATAATTGAAATAAAAATCATGTTTTATTTTTCAATTAATGTGTTAAATTTCGAAATAAATAAAAAATATTGAAACTATCTAGAATACAAAATATTACGTTTTAATTGTAATTCAAATCTCGATTTTAGTTATAAAATATACGATTGACGGAGGTGACAAATTGGGTGATTAAGATGAAATTTAGATTCGCATTTATGACACGCATTGTTCTGGAAATTGGATCCAACGTGGTATGAATTTAAAACAACAGAAGTAATTTCGCGGTTTCCAGACTCATCTCCGGCGCAAATCACGTTGTTGTCCGGTCGTCGAAAATCCGAGGGGATTTACAAAATGATACCATGTTAAAATATGTGCAAATACCGCATTATTTGCTTAATGAATCCATGAAAGAAATGGAAGAAAACAAGTCGAATTCGATGTACCTCTGTGGATCTGCTAGTGTTTATGTGTGTATGTGTATTTGTAATGCAAGTGATGCACTTTTTGGCCTTGACCATCCGGCGTGTCGGTCATCAGCCTCCCAACTATATATAAGTCCGATTCCTCGAGGACCGTGCAGAACAGACAGACACAAACTGAGTGACATCGTCTAAGGCAGACCATGGCTAACACAGTAAGTACATACCAATATTACAATAATTATTACGCTTTTTTGAAGAAAAATCTTAACTTTTTAATAAGTCTATGTCAATTTCATCAATTAATTTAAATCACATTGAATTAAATTGATAAAATTAAAATTTTAATAAACAATCAATGTATTTTTTTTAATTTTATTGCAACATTTACAAACATTTAAAAAAATCCAAGTAGTAGTTAATTTATTTAGTAATTCATTTTCAAGTGCATATGAATAAATAAAATAATATTTATCAATTTTATCAGTCAAAGGAAATCTTATTCAGTTGAATTAACTAAATCGAAATTTTCATAAGCAATTTTTATAATTTCCAATCAGTAGTTAATACTTTTTTTTTATTAAGATAGAAAATACATTGAAGTGATAAACATTTTATGATCATTGATCATTTTTTTTAATATTATTAACTTTTGCGATTAACTTTTGGATATGCGATCCTTTTCTAAATTTATTATTATTGCAATATTCATACACAAAAATAAACAATTGAAAGAGTAGCAGATTGCACATTATTACAAAATATTTATATTTAGGTATAAATCGCATTTATGTATGTAATATTTGAGGTATTACCAAATGATCAAGAATATTTGAAATAATATTTCTTAATTTTTATAATATAAACAATTTCTATTGAGTTCAACTAACAAATTTTAAAAAAATATATAAACTTTTGTTTTAATATTTATAAACTACTTTTATACTACAAACATAAATAAATTTAACATAGGAACCTAAGCAAATATCATGAATTGGTACAAAATAACAAAATAATTTAAATTATGTTAAAGTAAAAAAGGATTACTATTGTTTAGAAACAATCATATAATTGAGTATTAAAAATTGCTTTACATTTGCATTAGTACTTTGCCAATACATAATGCGATTGGTTTAAATTTATTTTTGATTATTCCGAGTTGTAAAACTGAAGATATTTTATCATATAAACTATTGAATATCTCGATTTTGCAACTATTTAACTTGTTTTTAGTTAAATAAGATACAAAGTTGATTTTTCTTTTAACAATAGCTGGAATATTTATTTACTTTTGATTTTGATGATACAATTTGTTGACTAAGTGTAGGTCAACGGTCTGGTTATTTTTGTTAGTTTAAAACAAAAATTCTTTTGGAATGACGATTATTGTTATTTTTTATATTAAAAGATGAGCGGTACCTTGAATTGACTCGAGGATTTCCAGAATTTAAATCAAGATGACTTTGCGACAATAACACCGTTTTTAGCACGTACACGATAATTACGAATATATTGTAATAAATGTTTGGCTGGGGGAAATTAACTTTAACGCCATTTTTCTATAAATTTTCGTTCTTTGATTGAAGTTTTTTTTAATTTTCAGTTTTGGATTATAGCACTTTTGTGCAGCGTCGCGTTGGCGCTACCGGTTGATGAGAAACCGACGGAGAAGGTGGAAGTAGCGCCGGAAGTGGTCGATCCTATCATCGAGAAGCAACTTCCCCCTGCGGATGGATCGGATATCCAGGAAAATAACTCTAAGCAGGGAATTGATTTGGAGACGGCCAACACTTTGTGGGGTGGATACGGAGGATACGGCGGTTATGGAGGCTACGGAGGTTACGGAGGATATTACAGGCCCTACTATGGCGGTTACTACAGGGGTGGCTGGGGCGGCGGATGGCGCAGAGGATGGGGCGGATGGGGAGGTCACTATTTCGGTTAAGAAGGTGCAATGCTCGTAGGGTTTCGGGGTTGGGAATTGGAATTTCAATCCATAGTAGGCGCATGCAGCGAAAGGCCTCTCCGCAGATTCAAACCATTAAGTTTTTCTTAACCTTTACATAGGTACTTACAACTTAAGTCACTTACAGAAGCCAGTCGTCGTAGATCTGCCTATTGCGTGTGCGTCTATTTTTGAAAATTGTAATATATATAAATAATCTTTTTTGTAACATTCGATATTTCTAAATAAATATTTTTTTCAATAACAAACTGTAATTTGTCATTTTCATTTAGTTTTATCATCATATACATACTTTAATTATACGTTTGTTCATTGAGTACTTTATAAAATGAGTACACTTCTATAAGTATTGTTGTGTCTCTTAGTCGCATTTTTATATAAACATATATATCAGCATAAAGGAATCTCTATCGTGATTCCAGTTGGATACACTTTAATATAAACAAAGGGGACCAAGCGTAAACATTCCCATCCATACTCCTATACTTTTACTCCGAATTCAAGTCCTTATTATAAACACATAATGATCGTTACACGTACAATCGTAATCGATCAACTTTTTCATATAAACAAATGCATAGGATTTTGTTCCGGTCTTATAATAAATAAGACTCCCGATCACAACTCCCACCCTGTATTAGTAAGAATTAACTTTGTAAGTAGAATAACTATTTAGAATTAGTCTCATTAAAACCTTCAGACTGATAGAGTCTTAGTCAACCTATCAAAGTAACTACATTGTCTTGGAAAAAGACCCAAGTGTACCCAAGTTATTATAATAAACTTATTCCATCCCTGGGACACGACAATAAGTCCATTTGGAGCTAAATAAAACGAATAATGACAGGGATGCTTTTCTACACATACATTTTTCTTACAAGTGCAAAAGAGGGTCATGGATAAAAAAAAGTTTGAGAAACACTGATTTAGATGATGATACTCTTTACGCTATAAAATACCTTAGATTCTCATTTTTTTATCAATAAATAAAAAATTATACAAAAATATTTATTTGCTAAAAAAAATATTTCTATATTTAATATATCAGAATATAGAATAGATCACCAACAATAAGATATAATGATTTAAGTTGGTTTTTATTTCTTTAAATTCTATTGTTACATTGGTAGAAATAAATAGTATAAATCTTTAGTATAAACGATCTTATAAAAAAAAGTAAACGTATTAAAATAAAAATCATAATCAATGTTATATAATAAACTCTAATAAAAATAAAATGGTTTGGTTTGACTCAGTCCATGTGGAACCTAACGCTGGAATATTTTGGAATTGATTCCAAGATACCAATCCGTAGTTACCAACCTGAAAAATAAAGTAAGTTTAAAAGCAATTCTAGAATTACTGAAAAAGTTATTAGACTACAATTGGATCAATCTTCAATTTGTTCATATAGAATACAGTTGAAATTTTGATCACATTAAGAATAAAAATGTATACCTTGTTCCTTTCTATACTGATCCTTTTGACGCTCCAAAAACCTCTCGTTGCGTCTCTTCTGCTTCAATCTGTACTGAAACAATGGAGGAAATGGGATGTCCTCAGCTGCGACCATCTCCACATTCATATTATAGAAATTATCGATTGGTGATTTCTTCTTGTCAGTCGAGTTTCTATTGTTAATATCATCGACCATGACGACATTCTTGTAAGGATCCTGAATGGTTGCATCACCATCAACTGATCTTTTGCGTCTAGTGATCATATCGCCTTTGTACCTTTGCCAGTATTGACGAAATAGAGGTTCTTTAGTCGGAAAAAAAACGTGGATAAGCTTCAATCTTCCAGCGTAATGATTTGGCGTTTGTTGCGTAGCAACAACGTTAGTAAAAGAAGGATTATCGGATGGTTTGCAGTTGGCTGTCATCAAACAGCAGAACATTAGGATAATCTGAAAAGGTTGTTTATATAATGTTTATTTTTCATTCTTAACTTTATTTTATACCCCAAAGACATTATATTTTTATATTCTGACATTGCAGCAAGAAAGAGCATAATATACTAATAATTTCTATAAACTTTATCTTTAGATATTTGAGTATTAAAAATGTAATAAACTTATATTACGCATTTGAGTGAATTCTTTAAAAGGTTGTTATCTTGTAATAAAATGTCATGAAATTATTCATTAGAATTAGTTTAATTATATTTAACACATAATATTGATTTCCCATATTGCTTAATTGGGTAAGATATGAATTCTCAATTTGTAACTAAAAAATAGTTCATTCTGACCTCATTTTTAATGACATCAAAAAATTCAATTTGCGTTGTTAAATTATATTTACATTTATGCAACCAGAATTGCTTATCGATATTTATTGACTATTTGAGCATTGGTGATGAGCTTCAAACTCGACTAAAAAATCCAATATCTCCACTACATCGAACGGGTAGCAAAAATAGAACTTGTAACAATAAAAAAACATTATTAAATAATAAAGGATTTTTTATTAAACTAGATAAAAGTTTCATTTTAATGTTCATATTTTGTACAATTCTTTGAAATAAAATAACTGAATAAATGACTGTTAATTGAAATGCGTGTTTGCAATCACGTAAATCAGTATTATTTTTATATATGACATAATGACTTTTTATAATATTCATATGACGATTATTTGAAAAAGTCAGTATATGTATTTGTTGGATGGATTAAATTTTGAATCAATCATTTTTGGTTAATTTTACTTTAATTAAGATTTATTATTAAAGTGAATCTTTTTTGATTTAATAAAGTTTACACAAATTTATACATCATTATTATTCGAAAAGTCAATATCCGAATTATTTGAAGGTTTATCTCCAAATTGCATTAAAAATAATAATGAATTGTCTTAATTCATCACATGTTTTGTCAAACATTCACTTTTTATTTTAACAATAATCAATTAAAGAAATTAGTAAAACTTTTGTAAAAAAACAATTTAATGTTAAATATAAAACAGAATTTACACCAAAATTGGCGGATTTTCCGCTGAATAAGTTATGAATAAAGAAGTACTTACTAAGAACATTTCCTTGTTTCGCGTAACTTCGTATCACTGGCGACGATCTCTTCACGTATAATGGTATTTCGGCGAATATATTTTTTTTGCGACTCAAAGCAGTAAAATGAATAGCGATCTGAAAGAGTGGAAGAGATGAATAACATTTTAATATTTTAGCAGCGGTTAGTGACTCGCTAATTCTTTAACCAAAGGACACTAAATCCGAACTCATCATTGTTCCTTTCGCGTTTCAACGGTAATGATCAATATTTGCGCTTCTTGTATTGTCCAGGATAGGAAACGTACAAATGTTATCACAGATATTTCTGATAGTCTTTGATCACCATAAATACGTTTTTTGGTGGTACATTTGCATTTTAAAGACATCCGCGTTGCGGCCGTGACGACTATTTTACGACCATATTTTTGACACACCTCTGCTGCATCCCGTACAAACAATAGTTTAATAGGAATGTTAATAAAAAACGGTTATAATTCAATATTTTTACTTTGAACATTAAATAATTGAATTAATACTATACCGGGATTATGTGAAAGCTTATTCATTTGGGGACCCTGTATTAAAACTGTTTGAGGGTCTCCAATTATCCCAAATTATGTTTGATTGAACGGGTCTCTGGCCCATAAAAATCATGCCTAAATTTACTATATACTAAATACCTCTAGTGCAGATAAATTTAGTGGTCCTTTTTCCTTTCTCATTCACACTTAAAAACTCAAAATAAAATTGTTATGACTGATTTTTATTTATGGAACAACAAGAATAAGATAATTATTATAGCAGATGTAAATGAATGCAACAATAACAGTATTGGCAATGCTTGGACGAAGAAAACTTATCGCGGAATGCTGTTGCTGCTTAAATAATCACTATTTTATTTGCGCTCGTTTTTTTGCGTAGACAATTTATTATATTTTCGATTAAAAGTCAATATGCAAAGTTCTCAATTATTTATTAATAATTTACGTTTGTTATTCGAAAATTGTCCATTTTATGAATGCGAACCTGTCTTTGTTTGCGAGATTCGATAGTTTTTATATTTGAAGCAGATTTTCAAAAATAAAACTAGATTGAAGTAGTTTGATGGAAAGAGGAGAAGCGATATTAATTAATTAGAAACGTAAGTATTATGTTAACCTTTGTTACCTGTTCCTGCCTCAGGTCGTTGCAATTAACATTAATTAAATCTTACCGCAGCAAACGGATAGACGTTTTCTTAATAATCAATTGCACATGAAATACAACACAAATCACCAATCAAACGATTCGAAGACTGAACACTGTCCGATTGTGAAAAAGTTGTGGTGTTGTAATAGAAATATTTAGTCCATATCAATCCATTGCTCACATTGTATTTACTCAAACTTTTATCGCGTTAATTAAAGTTTAAGAGAGGCCAGTGTATTAGTTAAAGTTTCTGATTGTAGTATTGTTATTTACCAAAGGATGGTGTGATTGCTATACTATTTATTTTTAACACTTTAACTTTGTTTTCTTTCATAGGTTACGATATGAAGAAATAGAACAAACAAAATAAATAAAGATTTTTATCTTTAGCTCTTCATATTAGGTTGATACGTAGATATGAGTTGGAGGAAGGACGTAGGATTATCGCGTATTTATAGCTAATTAATGCGCGGCGTGAACGAGACAAAAGAAAAATGCGAGGTTTTAATTATCCTAGCAAATATTATTGTATGTATTTGCGTCGTTCATTGCAAAAATACTCTATTCACATCTCACATTGACGTCCAATTTTCGAAATTTCATGTAAAAGAGAAAGATGTTTAATTAACAGTGAATCTAAAAAAAAGAAGATATGTATTTTAAATTCGAGTTATATGGTAAATAAAAAGAAATGAAAGATTTAAATATAACAGACTGTCATATAAAAACTGTCATTAACAGTAAACTAAGTTTAAAAGTGACTTTGACAGATACAAATGATAATAAAATAAGGGTATTTATTTACTTGAACTACTATGTTTTTTCGAATAAAATTACAATTTAAAATAACAACATTGATGAATTTAACTGAGATTTTTATGAAATGTATGAACAATTAAGTTGATACCGAGAATACTTAATAATTGGGATATCCGGTGAATAATTTGTACAAATTGGTTGCGCAAACGGTCGTTGCGAGTGCGCTCGGTCCTTTAATTGATTGGGACAATATTATTTTTGTAAATATGGAACAAGGCGACAGCGGCGATGCGTGACTTAATTATCTAATGATGATTTGTAGCTAATCAGAACAATGTGATTATGCCACGACGACGTTAAAGAGTCTTTACAAATTGATTTATATATAGACACGTGTTTGACATTTGAATTATTGTACGATTTATACTATTTATAGGCGCAGCTAGTTTTAAAATAAACGTCAAACATTAGTCGATTAAAACTTTATTATGATTTTTTATATGCAAATTAATTTAAACAAAGTTATAGAACTTAAGCAATAATTTGTTAAAACAATAATTAGCTACTTTTAGTGTACTTGAATTCGATTTTCTAATTTATAAATGACCATCAAACAAAATATATTTTGGCTTTGTGAATTAGGTTAATGTCAAACTGTAACCCAATTCATAAAGTCAATGTCAAACTTGTTAAACTATTAAATGATCATTGTTATTATATAGGTTACAGAATACCAATTCAAGTACTTTCCTCGAAAAAGATCGTTTAACCTTCATAATTATGATAAGAATATGTGTATATATGTTTTTATATCATAGTTCTTACGCAATATTTATTTTATTTTATTTCAATTTTTAGCTAACCGGAATAATATTATTTTTTTTTAATATAAAGAGATTTATATCAATTTATTATTGATATAAATCTCTTTGGCCTTATTTCTACCCGTTTCGGGTTTATCGGCTCCCACAAATTTTTGTGGGTTTTTGGGAATCGAACCAACGACCTTTCGTATCAGATTTTCGTAATACTATTTCGTTATTAAAAATCCGAAGTCCAAAGAATGATCACAAAAATTTCACGAAGTCTTCAAAATCGGTTTGTTAGCAAGAAAAAAAAAACAATTTAATATATATTTACCTCGTCTTTGAAAAAAAATGGTTTTGCAATCACCAATAAAAAGTTGAAACTTTATCATCAATTTGAGTAAAATTAAATCAGTGTCAAATGCGAAATGAAGTTTTCTAATGAGAAATAATTTGCACAATCAACGAATTTCGTAACATAAACGTCTATTTTGCTAAGACAAACACAGATCGGAGCCAGTTACTATTCGAGAAAGATGTCTCATACTTCTTCTTACTACTTTAATAATGAACTCATTATAAGTAAACATTGTTTTACAATTAGCACTTGTAGTACACAAGCGTCAATGAACAATTAGTGCAACGTTGATCAGCGTAAAACGTGTCGGGTATAAAATGAAAATCTACTCTGATCCACTCACATTCCACTCAATCTCAACACAAGAGAAACTAGCAGAGAAACAAAGATCAAATCGAACAACAATCATGAATTTTACTGTAAGTAATATAACATTGATAACAATTTGAGTCAGGTAATTAATATTTTTTTTCTCTGCAGATTTTACTGTTATTGGTCGTAGCAGCCGTTGCATGTGCAGTTCCATCTGGAATCATTAAGCAAAAGAACATCGAATTACCCGGACAAGAACTGATCAGCAAAAGAGATGTTTCTCAAATTGGTTTAGACGATGATCTCGAAGTCGCTGCTAATACCATAGTCTTCAGACCGTTGTTCCGAAGCAAAACCAAGAAGACCAACAGAAGACGCGTTCGCGCTGCTCCCCAAGAAGAAGAAGATTTGGAGACTGCAGCCAACACAATCATCTTCCGTCCCAATTTCCGCTCACAAAGGAATAGAATCTCGAGGAGGAGATTCAGGGACGTCGACGAAATTGAGCAAAGTCCGAAATCCAGATACAGCAGGTCCGTGAAGCCGGAGAAAACTCAAGATTTGGATGATGATCTTGAAACTGCTCAATACATTTTTCGTCCGTACTTCAGGAGAGGTTTTAACAGGAGAGTAACCAGAGACCTGGATGATATGATCGTTTTTAAGCCATTGTTTGCCTCAAGAATACACCATTGATGTTAATTCATGCTTTTTCGAGGCATTCATCAAAACTACAAAAAGGCTGTGGATATGATTAATCTGACGTGTAATTCCCATTGAGAGAATCATTTCTTGTTATTTTATTTTTTCTGAAGACTGTTTAGTTTATTTATTTAAATGTATGTATTTTTTAGTTTTAGCTCAATCATAATACTGTTGAGTTTTAGCTGAATCTATTTATAAAGTCGCTTCATGTAGTGCAAATGCCAAAGTATTAATTAAAAATAAATTTTCAAATAATTACTTTAAATATATATTTGTTTTACACCCATCTCTTAAATATAATGATTATACATACAAGTACGACCTAGTTTAGTTCACAAAAATGTTATTTGATGGTGGTAGCAGAAATATCAACATAATAAATGATATATACTGAAACACTTATAAAATAAATTTAAAGAAAATAAACTGTTTTAACAGTTAACAGCTCTACAACACAACATAACAGGTAAATGTTATTAACAAACTATTTCAAATTCAAATTTTAGCAATCTTCATAGCTAACTTCACACCACTGTTTTTGACAGATTGTGTATAGGCAAAACTGGTATCGCCAGATTTGTTCGATTTTTGCTCTGATGTAATGTATAAATAAGTGAGACCCAGTTGAAAATTTCCAAAAATACATTTACTAAATGGTCAGTTTCAGGTTATACTGAAGATTAGAAGATATGGTTTTGCAAATGATCCAATCCAGGTCCATTGCTCTTGGAGCAAAATTGAGGTTCCCAGCTATTAAGTTTAGGTATGGAGGCAATAAAAGTGCAGCCCCAGCCCATACCATTGCTAGCCCAACAGCCAGTGCTCCCCCTGCGAAAGCTCAAGCAGCAGCCTCTGCTGCATCAATCTATGATTTTCAACTGCCCTTAAGGTACAAAAGGAAGCCAATCGAACAGGAAGAAATTGATTACATCAACAGGGGTGGACCTGCCTAAAGGAGTATTTGTTTATAGTTAAATTATAGTTATATACATATAAGAACTAAATTATGATTAAATAAATGGCTTAATAAGTGAGTTTCAATTATTTTTAAGTATATGATTTGTTGAGATATTATCAAATAGATAATTTAATATTTATGTAATATATCTAAATAGTGATTGCAATTAAGCTAACCTTAATTAAGTAATCAATGTTGGTCAGTTTTTTTATAAAGACTAAGTTAAAAAATAAACATTTTTCTGTTAATAGCAATAGTTGAAATGAATTTTTATGATATCCATTTTCTAAATTTAATGTAAATCATTATGATTTTGTTTCATCGGTTGTCTATGTTCATTTTTTTTAGATAACCCATGTTACATGATTGTTTCCATCCTGTCTAGATCAATCTAATTATTTTGCAACGTAATGTGGTTAATTTAAAACAGGAAATGTGAATGTGTATTGTGCGGTGAAAGTTTATCATATTTCAGTTAATAAAGTACGATGTTTTCAATAAAACAAGTAATGAGACTGAAGCCCTTCATGGCGTTGAGGTTTGCAAGCTCTCAAAGTAGCCCCAAAACTGGAATTGTTATGTTGAACATGGGAGGACCACAGAGTTCGGAGAATGTACATGACTATCTGCTGGGCATAATGACAGACAAAGATATGATCCAGTTTCCATTTTTTCAAAACAAACTAGGACCTTGGATTGCCAAAAGGAGAACACCGGAGGTCAAGCAGAAGTATGATGAAATTGGAGGTGGATCACCTATATTCAAGTGGACTGAGAAACAGGGCCAGTTACTGTGTAAGCAATTAGATGAGCAATGTCCGGAGAGTGCTCCACATAAGAATTACACAGCATTCCGGTATGTGACACCATTTACAGATGAGGCATTTAATGAGGTTCTAAAAGATGGAGTCAAAAGAATTGTGGTGTTTTCACAGTATCCACAATACAGCTGTGCCACATCTGGGTCAAGTTTCAATGCTATTTACAGACATTTTAGGAAGATTGGCTTCCCAAAGGACATTAAGTTGAGTGTAATTGATCGCTGGTCCACAAATCCACTCTTGGCAAAGACATTTGCTGATTTGATCAGGAAAGAGCTGAAACAGTTACCTGAAGATAAACAGAAGGAGGCAATTATTTTGTTTTCAGCACATTCAATTCCATTGAAGACTGTTAACAGAGGTGATTCATATCCCTCAGAGGTGGGAGCCACTGTTCAAATGGTTATGCAGGAATTGAATTATTGCAATCCTTATCAATTAGTATGGCAATCTAAGGTTGGACCTCTTCCATGGTTGGGGCCATTCACGGATGACGCCCTAAAGGGGTATGTTAAGCAAGGGAAAAAGACTTTCTTACTGGTGCCCATCGCTTTCGTCAACGAACACATCGAGACTCTGCACGAGATGGATATTGAATATTGCAAAGATTTGGCAGGTGAAATTGGCGTGAAACATATCAGAAGGGTACCGACGCCTAATGACCATCCTCTTTTCATCGACGCTCTAACAGGAATTGTTAAGGATCATCTGAAGAATGGCGGTGGAGTCAGTCACAAATTTTTGAATCGTTGTCCACACTGCACTAACGTTAATTGTTACAATAGCAAGAAGTGGTATGCCGATATTTGTAATCGTACTTAAAACTGTTACTATTGTTATTGATGAAATAAATGTATTTTATATTTAACATTATCGTTATTTTTATTATTCATTTAAATAAGAAGTATTAGATATATTATAAATTTTACTTTTCACAAGTTGCTTGAGCATTTCACACGAAATATTACTTCTAATTCAGAAAAATTTCCAATTAAACTTATTTGCGAGAACAATCAAGGGATTGTAAACAACATGTCATATTAATACTTAAATCAATAAATAAGCCTACATAGAAATTTGTAATGTTTAAAATACAAATATTCCATATAAATCACGTTTTTAAAATTATTTTATTAGAAAAAAAGTATAAAGTCTACTATCATAATAAATAAGGTATAAAAATGGGGAATAGTCTTATATAATGGTTGGGAATTCATCAACATTCGATTTATCGGCGCGTCTTCGTGCCGGAGCATCACTTCTGGGTCTGGAAACTGGCGAAAAGATGCTGTTGTCATCTCCTTTAAAGGGTTGTACGACGATATCGTTTTGTCTAATTCTTTGACCTCTCAATGGAGACAACACGAAGAGTTCATCAGAGTTGTCGTCATCTATAGCAGGATAACTTAACGACCCACCTATAGATACCAATATAATCTGTAAGAAGGATCAATTATATTAAAAAATATTGTTAAAGACAATTTGAAAAGAAAGTACTCACAAGTAAAGCAATCATTTCGATTCACGAAGATTGTAATTTTTGATGTTAAAAGTGCAAATTGAATTAAATAAATCTTTATTTGTGATCTTCACTTTCTCAGATGCACTTTGGATTTGCGTTAGATCTGGAAGAGCGACGGTGATTTATATAAGACAAATGGTCTGGTGTTTTAAGGAAATATCCGTTTACCCAAAGAATTAGCGCGCCGTTTTCCAGCAAAAAGGATTTCATCGATTAATATAGTAAATCGAATCCACTACGGTTTATTTTTCTATTTTTGTATCTTTCTCTATTTTGCTTTGCATCGGTCAATATTTATTATGGTAATTTGCAATCCGCATCTTCGACGTTAATCCTACTCCTTGTAAGATCCAATTTCCGCAACATTCGAGAGTGTTACACGAGGAAAATTTTGGAACGTTTTGTAACACACTATAATGGGATGATTGGAGAGCAAATAGGCCGGACCTGTTTATAAATATTGATACAATAATAATACAACATTACCGTATTCGTTTGTTGATTTTGCAAATGGAACGCTAAAAATTTAAAGTTCAATATCGATATCTATAAATATACAAATATGCTTAAAATTATAGATTTATAATGCGCAGGACGGGAATATGTAAGAAGAAAACATCAATTTCGTTTATTTTATAAATTGAATAAAATGGGATGCTTGTATCTATTTCAATTAGAATTTCGGTAAATGTAGAAATTAGAAGTTATTGTTCGTAATCTCTTAGTAATTAGTAATTAAAACCAAGAAACCAATATATCTGTATAATAAATTAAAAATGGTAAAACCACTCAATAAAAACAGATCAAATAAAAAATAGGAGTCGTAAAGTATTCAAAAAAGTGCTGTGAAAAAATAAAGAGTTAACTTTGCAAAGGGCAAGTACGTGACGGAAAAAAACTAAAAATTGCTTAATTGGTTGCATAAGTGCAAAAATAACAAATTAATCAAATGTCACTTTCTCTGTTTACAGAACTTATCTTTAAAATAGTGTCAGTACTGGTCAGTACAACATAGACTTGGTGGATTATGGAATGACTGAAAAAATGAATCAAACTCAATTGAATATACAGTGGAACCTCGCTTAACAAGTTTAATCCGATGAAGAAAGCGCGCAATCCGGGACTTCTGTTCTCATTGTCACTCGTTATGCGAAACGTCGCTCGTTAAGCGAGTCATTTTTCTTACAATTCATTTTGCTCGTTAAGCGAGGTTCGACTGTATTGTTATAATTATGAAGTTACGAATCGTCGAATTTAAATTTATGATTTCTCAAAGGGTGTTTTGACGTCATACATCGAAAGTCAATAAAAATTACTGGAAGTGTGATAGTAAATAGTATTTAAATGTAATGATTCCCGGTAAAAATATGGCTGATCAGTTCCTCTCCCATTCTCACTCTCTCCCTCAGATTCGAATGGAACGTCCGGGTTTAATAGGATGTAAATCTAACGAAACATCGCAATTAAATACCTGATTTGCATCGAATGCTCGCACATCTTGTTTTCGATTAAATGCATATGCACCTTCTCCGTTTGCTACATACAAATAGAAACGCAATAAATAAAATAACAAAAATAATAATACTACAAAAAAAGCTAAGCGATTGCGTATTTATAGACAATTTCTCTTCGCGCTACGTAAAGTAAATTTTCAAGTAAGGAATGTTATTTTTCTTCTTGTTTTTCAACGATAATAATAATATTAGTCAGATGAAATTAGAGTCGTAATAAGTTTTGTTCTGGAAGGAAAAGTGCAAGCAAACAAACATTATTACTGGTATTTGTTGTTGTCTGCATTCAAACTATTTATATAATAAATATGAAGGAAATCTTTGCGCTCATGCCACAAAAAAAGAAGCCAAATATTTGCGCCCCCTGCTCTTAAGAAAAAAATACTATTACCTATTAGGGTTTTCACCCTATTTATTTCATATTAAGTTTCGGATAAAAAAAACTTATTATTTTCCTCAACAACAACTCCGGAACAACTTATAATGAGAGTTTTAATTGACAATTTCTGGTTCAAGTTTGACTGATTTGAAATAATTGGCATGTAGATTTGTATATTATTAAAAAAAAAAAAATAATTATATTTATTTCAAAATAATAAAACTAAAAAAAAATAACATAATAATAAAATTCAACTGCTATTGACCATAGGTCTTTCTACCCTGGTGTTATATATTTTATTATATATTAATATTTAATTAGAATTTTTTGTTAAATAATGATTTTGTTTAATGTTGAAAAGTTTACCTAAGTCACCCGTTCATGTTCCTTAACTTTCATAAAATTTTGGAATATCCGTTCTTGTTTGCAATAATAAGTCACTGTTTGTTTTGATGTGAGAGAGTTTTAAGTAAATAGAACCATCCCGAAGAAGCAATGCCGTCGCTTCTGGAAAATAGTTTATCATGTAGTCAGTGGAAAAAAAATATTGCAAAGAATGTTTGTAAACATTCATAATTCTGTGAAGTCGGGGCAAAACACATTCGGCGCAGATCATCTTCGGGGTTATCTGAGTAAGCACTAAAACAATTTCGTATTGTAAACTGGCCCAAACCGCTTGCTAATTGGTAAAATAATCCACTTCAAAGAATCGTGATTTCTGTCCACTATAAGATGCAGCATTCAGTCGGGATGAAGTCCAGTTACAGTTAAACCCTGAAGATGAATACAATTGCTGTGAGCATTCGCAATTCGAACTATTCTTAATAACAATTACATTTTATTGTATTTGCAGATTATCTTAGCTTTGGTGGGATTATCCAGTTGCGCTCCATGGAGCCAAGGCGAGAACAGGAACATTTTTGTGATGTCCGAAACGGATAGAAACGAAAATTCGCAGCAAGCCACGTACATGGCCATCCCCATTTCCCAAGTGAACGATGATTCGAAAATTTTGGCTGACCATCAAGGGAAACCGTTGCTGGTGCAGCCTGCTAATAATTCCGAAGAGGAGATGATGACTGCAGATAGTTTGGTGTACAGACCGCTCTTTGCGTATAGGAAGCAAGTGGCCAAAAGGCAAAGGATAAACAGTGGAGATTACCCACACACGCCGACTTCTAGAAGAGTGTATTACATGCACGGATATTATCCGCAATACTACAGGAAACCCGCCAGATATCCGGTGAGGAAATACAGGGAGGAAGAGGACGAGGACAGATTTCCGGTTTTGATATAAACTTAAAAAAGGAAAGAAAAAAGAAATCCCTTATAGTTTTACATTTATTTTAACGACTTGCCAAGTGAAAACGAGCTTGCTACATTATTTATTGTATTATTATTATTTATGACTTTTTATATACATTTTATAAACACATATTTTTTATCTTTGCAAATAAAATAACGTTTCATGTAAATCATGTGCAATTATTTTCCTTTTTACTTTATGGATTTATTTTCATTTCTCTAGAAATTGCGGTGCGCTTCGAAGCACATCGACCACCTCCGATCATGAGTAACTGTTTCTTTTTATTTAAATAACTTTGTTCCAATTATAATTACAAATAAATTAGAAAAAAAAATCGAAACATAAAATATTGAACACTTGAGTTTTTTTTCTACTAATAGTTATAATCGCTTTCAACTCAAATTCTAAGTTTTAGAAGGAAACTGTGTGTAAAGGCTATGTTTACGGATCAGTTTAGCCCGATTTATAAGCATAACGGACACACACAAAACAAGTAGTATTTATTCAATTATCATACTTATTGCATCTCATAAAACATTTTTAACAAACCAGAATGCACCGCATTTCCAACCAAATTGAATCCATCAATATTTGCTAACATCGTTATACCTTCGAAAAACAAAACAATTTGTTTATAGTAATGCTCTAATACATATTATTATTTTCCTTCCTTTTTCCATCTCTTACAAATCAATATTATTAATAATTTAATAAATGAAAAGAAACGAGTATTTATTAAGGTAATTAACTATATTTATAAAGATTTTTCGATATTTTATCAAGACATTTTTTGAGAATTTTAAATTGTATTTTATTTAAAAACAAATAAATATGTTATTATTACATATTACTTTCTTCCGTTTACAAAAAATCAATATTATTAACACCTTAACATATAAATAAATTACAACATTTTTTTCATTAGTAAATAATTGAGGAAATACCAACATTTTGCATATTTATTCTTCATAAAAAGTTCTTGATACCAGGATTTAAAATAAATTTTATGTGTAGATTCTCCCAATTCAATTCTTCTATAATTCCTGACGAATTTCATTCATCACTGCTTTACTCGTTTATGAACAATTTAAAATGTAATTTCAGAACTTCAGATTGATCTATTGGACCAGCGGTTTCCAAACTAGGAGGAGCGGACTATAGCCAGGGGAGGCGCCAATTTTTTTTAATAAATTGATTTTTATACCATAATATCTTCAAATAAATAAAACGTGTCTATACAACACAATAAATGGTAAGGGAGGCGTGGAAATTTTTTTTTTCGGGGAGGCGTAGTAGCATAAAGGTTGGAAAAGGCTATATTGGACAATGTTTCGTTAAAAAAAACAAACTTACCAGTTAAAAGGTATACATTTTTTTTTCAACTTTAATAACAATTATTTTTTACCGCGTAATAAAGTGGAAATTCGAAAATAATATTCATATCTTTGGAACAAGTCTTTGGTATGTCAAAGAGTTGAAAAGTATCAAAACTATTAATATAATTTTATAAAGACATTATTTAATTTTTTGAAAAAAAAAAAAATACTTTTACAAGACGCATTTTTACGGTCGAGAGCATTGTAACAATGGCTTGTTATTACGTGCTAAATCCATGTTTGACAGTTAAACAGAAGTCAACAACCTTAGTAGAAAAAAATCCGCATTTTGAATTATTGAAATTAAAAGAAAAAATTAAAATATATAGTCTGAATCTAAATTATAAATTTTAAAATATCCAGGTTAATTTATGAGAAATATTCTATTATTAAAGATATTGTTCTTTAGAAACTTGTAATTTCATTGTTTCAATCTTGACTTTCAAATGCGGATAACTGTAATATACTAATATTACTTAATTATCTCTTATGTTTGCTTTAATTTGCATGTTCAGATATTGCGGTTTTCAAGAAATATGGGTATTTAGAAACACAGTTTTATCAATTAATTACTTCAACTTTGATACCAAAATACACGATAATAGTGAATATAATTAATATGAAATCAACAATATTTAATTTTAAACAATCATAACTTTAATTTCAATCTTCTAGTTTCAATTAATCTTCATCCGATTTCGAGAAATTCTTTAAACTGGAAAGATATTGATTTTTTGATATTAAATATTTGATCAAAAAATGTTTATATTTAGATTTGATTTTGACCGAATTATTTTTTGAAAAATAAACTATAATAGATAGAGGTTGTATTTTTTAGTATGAGTTATAACAAATTTCATTGTACTGTTGTGTCCAACCATAATTGTTATTATTAATATAGTGTATTGACGAACTAGAGACATCCATGGCGTCTCTTAGTCGCATTATTATATAAACATATACATCAGCATAAAGGAACCTCTACCGTGATCCCGTTCAATACACTTTAATATAAACAAGGGGACCGCGTAAACATTCCCATCGATACTCCTATACATTTAGTCCAAATTCAAATTCATATTATAAACACATAATGATCATTACACGTACAATCGTAATCAATCATATTTTTCATATAAAAAAATTCATAGGACTTTGTCCCGCTCTTATAATAAACAAAAACACCAAGACCGATTCCCGTGGGAACGCTTAATCATCAATATATACAAGCCCTGCTTCCAATCACAACTCCCACCCCGTATTAATAAGAATGAACTTTTGTAAGTAGAATAAGTATTTAGAATTAGTCTGAGTAAAACGTTAATATGATTAGCATAGTCTCAGTAAAACTTTAATATTATGAGCATAGTCTCAGATGAATCTTGAATCGACCAAGTAACGAATAAAGTTATGTAAAACCAAACGAATTTCATTAAATTCCTAACAACTGAGACTCCACAACGATAACACAAGATAATATTCCACTGTGTCCAGCATTCCATCCCTGGGACACGACAGTATTTTGTAACTTATGTCAAAATATTCTATTCCAACTTTTTCTTTACATTACAGTAACTTAAAAATATGTATTTTAATTTTGCTATAATTTTAAATTTAGGTTTTTTTTTCTCTTTTTAAATTGTTGTGTGTTTTTAAAACTAATTAAAATGTATAAGTGTAAACTTTGACAAAATTTATTCCATTTTGGTACTTCATATAAAAGTCAAAATAACTAAAAAGAATATACTTCATAAATATATTTTTCTTAATGCATTGATACAAGAACAAAGTTATTTGTGCTTTTAAAAGTATTTCTCAGGATAAAACGGAATTTCAATTATGTTTGGTTATGGCATATCTTCTTCGCCATTCATATAATCCAATTAATCGGAGAATTTCTATGGATCGAAATGCATGAAAACAAACAGAACATGTAACATCTGTTACAAGAATATTAAAGGAACGAAAAAAACTTTCACCATTTCTCCGCGTTAGGCATATTTGCCTTTTGCAAAAAAAAAAATGAATAACGAGCAAGCGAAATGCGCGCAACGTTACGTAATTTTCGTTGGTTTTACGCGTATCACATTTGTAAACGAGTAGAAAACATTGACTCATTCACAGTTGGAAGGAAAGCGACGTTTTCGCAAAATTCGATAAAAAAAGCTACTAATCGATTTTAGTCATAACGCTATTCTAAAAATACTCAGCTTCCTGTGTTCTATAGCAATTAACACGTAAGATCGACGTTTCGATAGTCCTGGTTCCCATGCGATCCACTCCGTAAATTCCGAATCAAATTAATACATTATTAATAACGTTTTAACTGTATTTTCGACGGGTTTTATATTTGTGGGCATAAGAAAAAAAAGGAACAACAACAGCAGAGATTCTTAACTTGTAATTAAGTTAAAGCGACTGAATAATGCGAGTGGTGAACAGTTACAGGAAACTTCGAAATTAGCGCACACACAATTAATTAAGACGCCACTTAATTACTCTTTTTTTTGCAGAGGAAGCATAACGATTTTGCGAAGCTTTGGGAATTTAACAAAAAGAAAGAACGGAAGATTTAACACGAGGAGGAGGAGAAAGAGACGGTAATTGGAAAATTAAATAAATTGGAAACACAGTTTATTGTTCCACGTACGCTGGATGCAGGTTACAATCCTTTTATTTTTACTTTACTCACTGATGTTTGCGGCAGCCTCTTAATTTCTTCCACTTCTGAAAAAATAAAAGGAAGACACGAAATAATTAATACCGATGGAATGTTGAAACGATTTGTAAACATTTTAGTCCTTCAACCATGTGTATTGCAATAATATTAATAGTTGAGATAGAGTACACACAAATCATTAATTCAAGTACTATCATCGGTGAATATTACTTCAATAAATTCTTAACAATATTAGTAACAATTAAATTTGTTTCAATTATCCTTCTAGATTATTTTATGAATTGAAAAAAGATCTTACTACCCAACTTAAAAATATATTCAAATTGATTTAATTTATAAAAAGACAAAACAGAATTTTTTTAACTAATATTCCTATTTCCAATTTATATTATTGTCAGATTTTTTAAATTGAAAAGTGAAATTGCAACTATTTGGAAAGCGTATAGTTTGTAAAAGGACCGATAAACTAACACTAACATTTACATTTGTACAAATCGAATGCAAATGAATGCAGTACGGTTAACGCTTATTTTTACAAAAATTACAAAAAAAGAACAACCTTTCGATTTTGATTTAATTCAGAAAAGTACGTGTGAAAGTGTATAGCAGTAGAAATATATTACCGACCAAGTGATGTTTAATGCATGCCTTCAATATTTGTGATTGTCGAATGCAAAAAAAAAACGTGCAAAATAAATAAAATAAAGAAAGTTAAGCGATTTTCACATGCTGAAGATTTAATAAAAGCAGATAGAAACTTCTCATGTGGAAACAATTATAGGCTTATGACATATTCAAAAAATATTCCATGTAAACGAAACACCATAAGTTTAATGGTCTTCCAGTTTCGCCAAATGCTTTATTTACGAGTTTCAAAAAATTTCTAAACCAAAATCATGTAAATGTATTTATAGACTCGTTTCAAATAGTTAATTAGAATTATTCAATTATGTAATATGTAATTATTCATTTCCAATTATTACTATATAATGGTACTACATCTAAAACTGTATGTTTTTTTAAAGGATTTTTTTATTTTTGATTGAGATAACAACTTCTCATTCTTGTCCACCTCTTGCTTGTATCAATTATGTTCAAGATCCAAGACCCGGAACGGAATTCGACCAGTCACGAAAAGCGGAGTCAATCAACCAAAAGACCACAGAGCACAATGGTAACTATACACGTAACTCGATTTACATTTTCATTACTGTAAATCTTAGATTGAATCTCATTTGAATTCTTGAAGATCACAAAAGAAAACGATATTGATTTTATAATAATACATAATATTATTTCACGCAGAAATACTCGAGTCAATAGATTTATTTCCATTGTGAATAAATATTGTGATAAGTTAGTGGATATTTTTTCAATATTTTATTAGAATTAAACATTGTTTTCTCATTGAAATTAATGTATCTATAACTGAAAGAATCCATCCTTGAAATTAATGATGCGTTGGTATTCGATTCCGATCAATAATTATAGTTAGTCATATTTTATGCAAGAGCAATTTATAATTAATTTGTAAATGGGTATTTAGTTAAAAAAATACAATAATTGCTCACTTACTCATGTATTCAATTGTTATTGATATAAGTTTTAAGTTAAACATGAATTTTATATTTATTATAATTGAATTGTTTTGGTGATTAACTCGTCTGTATTTTTTAGGACTTTTTGGCCTTCATTAGCGTTTTTAATAATTTTAAAATAAAAATTAATTTTGGTTATTGCTAATTTTAGTAATGCACTGACCTTTATCATCAGCAGTATTTTTGTTTTCGTTACCATCGGGAATTTGGAACTTCACCCGTCTGGTGTTGATTGCATCATGTGAATTGATCAAGACGGTAACGATGATTGCGGCACATGCGAGAACCATGTAAACGAAGACTGCTACCAGGACTTTGATGATCACCATCAGAATGTTCCAGACGCAACGGTTTCCCAGATTATTATACATGGAATTTATGAAGCAGCTCGACACCTATGGAATTTGACGGATTGGTAAGGAACTCTTTGAAAGCTGTTTTATCTTTAAATTTAAGATAGTTACCAGAAAAACAGTTACCCATCGCGGACGCGTCTGCATCTCCACATCGTTAACCACGTCCTCCTCGACATCCTTCGCGGGCTCCACCGATTGCTCTTGACCTTCAGGTATCACGGCATCCTGCTTCTCCGCGATTTTTCTGCGGAACAGAGGATTCTCCGTGGCTTTCCTGTGGTCGTGCTTCTTCTTGGAAGCAGGAAGGTAGTTCATCGTGGGTTCGAACTCTTCTGGTTTGATGGAGACGTTGTCGCCCGGATTTTTGGTACATCTGTCGTTCGGCTCCTTCCAGATCTCCTCAATATCGTTTTCTGGTATGAATTGGCCATCGTTGGCGAGGAGAAGGCGCTTGGCGTCACCTTCGTTATCCATAATTTATAAGCATTTCACATCACCCCACGAGAAAAATTTTGACACTTGACAAAATGTCATTTAAACAGGAGTAGAGAAATAAAACTGTATTTCCATAAGCTACTTTACTTCTAAATCAAACAAAACACCAATACAAAATAATTATCTCTAAAAAAGAATAACTCAACAAAAAATAAGGAATAATTGGACTAATAGTGATCATGTTTGTGATGATGAAAGTGATGCTCTTCGCTGGAATCATCTGAACACTCAGATTCGGATGATTTATGATCAACTTTATCTTCAACAGTATTCATCTTCTGAATATTCTCTTGATCAAATTTTTGGACCGCAACAGCTTGTTCTGTAGTGTGTTCTTCAACTTGAACATCGATCTGATTAACATCAGAAACAACGTTTACTGCGATTTCATCGATTTTCTGAATAGTCATTTCCGTCACCGCAAACTTTGTCTCCACCGATCCATCTTCTTTAACTTCGGAAACATCTTTATCGTTGTGAATCTTATGCACGTCTTCCTCAGCTACAATTGAGGCCTCTGTCTCATTTTCAATAACTTTCTTTTCGATTAAAACTTGCTCGTTGTCCACTTGCTTCGATTCGTATGGGAAGCTGCTTATGCAAGCAACGAGAGCAAATAATATAATAGTTTTCTGCAAATAACAATAATATTATACGGTTGAGTAAATGGATGTGTTAACTCACCTGAATACCCATCGTGTATTTGTTTGTTGAATGCTGGATGCAAATTGATTGAATTTTCGTTGTTTCCTGCGACTTATATACCAATTAGAGGGATGTTCATAAAAAAAAGAAGAAAAAATAGATTGTTTGTTTTGTAATAGAAGTTTAATTTAATATTAACATCAACTATAATAAGACGTTGACTAACAGGGAAATAGTATTTTTAACATAGGAAGTTTTTTCGTATCGCGGTTGACATTAGGTAGGTAATCTTTCCCGGTGGATAGTTACCATCATAATGATTTTATTTTAATTTGTTGATTGACGTCTTATAGGTTGACTTCCTTTGACTCTGAATCTGATGCTATCGACTTGGCTGAAAGTCTATATGCTGAACCTCATTCATTTGACTGTCCATCTGTGATGAACGGCAGTAAAGGTGGTATAATACTATAAAGACGTATTTATTAAGACATAATTTAAATTTTCAAAATGTAATTCATTTTTCAAACATATTTTTAATAATAATAATAAAAACATTTATTGCAACAAATAACAAATTCATCTGCTGCAATGGGTTACTGACCATAGATATTTCTGTCCGGGAAATAATAGTGTATTGTACAAAAAATCACAATATGTGCTCGTAAAGATTATGAGCAGGAAATCCGATCCCAGACCAACCTCCGACTTCACATTTTTATTATTATTCTTTTTGTTTCATGAGTTTTATATCTTTGATTAATTGTGTACAATTATCAAATATTCTATAAAACTAATTAAAGATATAAACATTAATCAAATAATTTAAGTAAATGTAAACTAATTATATAATTTTATGGCTTGGTTCAAATTAGGGCAAATAAATGGTTAAATAGTTTTATATGATTGAAATATATAATAATCCAGTTATAAATATAATTTATTAATTGATTATTTTTATACAAACTTTTTTTTTTCAATAATTCAATTAGATGGAAATATGCTTTATATTTCTAATAAAAATTTATTATTAGTCAACAATACTCATACTATGAATAAAAATACTAAATAAAAGGGCAAAGGGTTATTGAACACTAGATTAGTTAATATTTATTCTTTTTTATTTATATCATCATATTTTTAGTTCGTGTGTAAAAAAATAATAATAATAGAATTATATCATTAAAAGAAAAATAAATAAATTTAAAACTAAGCGTTCATATTCTCATAATTTAAATATTAGTTTTTATAAAATATATTAAATATTTTTGTTCCCAGTTTGGTGATTCATAATAAAAGTGAAAAATTTGTCTTTTGATAAAATTACATAATACATTGTCAAACCGGATTTAAAGAAAGAAAAATTGAATGATATCAATGAGTGATTACCAGTCTATGTAATCTAATTAGGTTTTTCCAGAGAGACATTCTTCACAGAAAATTAAGTTTCATTAAATACAAATTTATAATTAAAATGATTGATCATAATATGTTATGTGATTGTAATAATACTGAAAGTGTGAAATGATTCATGTTTGCGATTTCATGTTATGATTAAAATGACTCAGTTGAAATAAAATGAAAAACAAAATGTAATTGTTCAAAAGAAACAATTTGCAATTAAAAATTTGAATAACGTTTTGCTCGGAATGATCTAATCCAATTAACGGATGCTGTTACGTAACACCGGTCCAAAGTATTTTCGGGTGTACAGGAAATGTTTACAAGAGTATTATTATGTAGAGAATAAAGAAAAAGTATACGTCTCGGAGGTATTAATTTTCGCCATGCTAAGATTCTCATGACTACCTCCGTGTATCATCATCCATCATGCTTTCCGTGTTATCTGCATAATAGCGGAAACGGTAGAATTCCGCCGGGCTAAATCCGCGCTTCTACCATGAAGAGGTGGAGGAACATCCAGAAGAAGAAGGAGTTTCCAAGAGTCCAAGACCGACGCCTCAAACTGTGTGTGCACACATTCGCTTTTCCTCGGTTCGTGGATAAATGTACACGATATCTCGAGATACGCGCGAGATAATCGGTGTAATTGTGCCAATCAAGGAGGTCGAATCCTCGGTTCCGAATAAAACGGTTCGCGCCGTTTCGAAGGAACCTCAGACACCGCAGAACCATCCGATGTAATGCGACCGGAACAGCGAACGGTCTGATTTGTTTATTGTTGTTGTTCTTAGTGTTGTCGTCGTTCCTCTTTCCTTCCTGTAGCAACGGCGGTGACGGAGGAGCAGCAACAGCAGCAGCAGACAAGAACAAAACCGTTTTATTGTCGCTTCGTTTGTTCATTGTTGGTTTCGTCGAAGAGTGAACTTAATTAGTTGGCATTGTCTTCGGGGAGACGTCTTCGGGTTCAGTTTCCATTCGGTGGATGTCGAGTGTGCAGTGCTTTGGATTTAAAACAAAAAAAAACTGATTATAATAACTAGAGGAAGAAGACGACAACTGGCGACATTTGGAAGAAAACATGGTAAGCACCTTAATGGTCGTTAGAGAATCGTTAACCTTTTGCGAGAATGATAGAGAGAGACAGAGAGCAATTACGATCGGTTTCAATACGGAACGAAAGAAAACGGCTAATTAATTGCGTTTTGAAATAAGGCCAAAGATTGTCTTGTTTCAATTGCAATTGGGACAGAACGTTTTATTGCTTCGCTGTTTAGTTTTATTAAATCTGCAAAAAAATAATTACTACACAATTACACAGTTTGGAAATCTAGACTTAATACATAAATCAACAAATGTGTTTGTTGAACGATTGAACGATGTTATATAGAAAATACATATTTTTTTGCAGCAAAGACTTAGTCCTTTGGCCCAACTTAAAACCAATAAAAATTAGTAAAAAATATGTTGTTTTAATCTCAAAAGAAATTAAACTAATTTATTATTAATATTAAATTTATTAAATTAAATTTTGTAACAGGGACAGAACGTTTAATTTCTTCGTGTATTTTTATTCTGCAAACACAGTTTGGAAAATTAAATATATTAAATTAAATCATTTTCAATACTGTTTTTTTTTTCGATTTAAACTTGCTTCATCTTCATGAAAATTAATTGAGTTGATTTAGCTATAGCGATCATATAAGACAAGATGATATAAAATTTGTTGTATAATTTTCTTATTAAATCAAATTATTCATACTTAGATTGTTCTTACTTACGATGTTTCAATTCAAATAAGTTTTTTTTGTCTCTATTGAAAAATAATATTAAATTAAATTATTTAGTATCTGATAATTATACTAATATATATTATTAAAAAAATATTTACTATAAAATTTATTTATAATTAAATAAAAAATTTCAATATGATATTTCTTCAATTAAAATTTATTCAGAAAAAAACATTATAATAATATTTGTTGACAATTAATCACATAAAAAAAGATTAATTCAATTAGATATGGATATAAACTAATTAAAAGTTTCGTTTTGCAATTAAGAATTCGTTCGTTTTTGTAACAAATTGCCCGGCGTTTAACATAATTGTTGATCTTATAATTAAGTCGTAATTGTTAAATCCGGTTTGAATTTGCGTTTCTTTAAATAAATAATTGTAATGTATATTACTCACCACGAAACTCATACAAAAAAAAATAACAATGCATTTGAAAATAATGAATGCATTGGGAAAACAGTCGTGCACATTAAAAAGAAAAAAATCCATGCATATATAAATAAAATGAAAATAAAGAGAGAGATACTAAAGAAACTATAGTTTAACATTGCAATGTTAAATTACATTAATTAATCAAAAAACGATAATTTAAGTTTAAGTTAATATTTTTCGTAGATTTTCTGCAAATTGCTTTAAAACTTAATATTACTAAACAATAAATGGTTTATAAATAGATTCAGTTGTAAATTGAAAGTGTTCATAGTGAAAAGACGACTTAAATAAAAATATGTCCATGGACAATTTGATTGTGAAACCGGATAAATGAATTCGATTTCATTAATTAAATTATACTTGGAAATAGAAATATTGAACTAGATAAGAGAAGTGTCCAAGTAAAGTGAACTAAATTAATTGCTTTCGTTTTCTGTCGTTATGTGTCGGGTCACTTCCGTCGCGTTTCGAGAACAAATGTAGGTGGCAAATGTTTCGAACAATAGAATTGGTTCAAATGGTTTTCGGTCACAAAAGAATGCATGCAGCATGCATGCATACTTGTATATTCAATGCTATCTCTCTCCCAGGTGAAAATACGATCTACGAAATGCTACAAACCCATCCGCGTTTCCTGCTGCAACAACAAACGTGAAAACAGTTTTAATTAAAATAGACGCTAGATTAGCAAATTTATATTAATCGAAGAGCAGAATTCAGTTTCAATTTCTATTAGAAATATTATCGAAAGTTTTCCGTGTGTCAGAGCTTAGGGAAATCTCTGGACACTTTGGAATTCCTGCAGATGTTATACTTGTTTAGTCTTGAGCATATCAAAAATACTTGGATACTATAAAAACAAAAAAAAATGAGATTAAATATATTTATTTATATATTAGTTAAATTTATTAGAATTTAAAAAAATATGCTAATATATGGTTCCAAAAAAACACAGTTATACAAAAATATATAATGAACATGCATAATTAAATCTAATTATTCTCATTGAATTAAAATATTTTGGCGGATTTGCCTTGCGATCTTTTCTTTTTTTTTGGTTGTTTCATCTGTCTTCTTTCGATCGTTTTCTGGGTCACTGGGTCCGAAGAATTCCGTATGCAAATGAGCTTAAATGTGTTAAAATACGAATACGAATATTTCTTCGATTTTCAGTTCCATTCGCGTTTTCTTTCCGTCAATTACTTTAATCGTAATTCGCGACTAATTGGATATGGAATTGCGTCATTTTCGATGCATAATTTCAGGTCAAATTTAACGTTCAAATTAAATGAAAAGTGTATGTATTTGCTGGTAATAAAATGAGTGTTTTGAATTTTGTTTCGGTGCTGTAATTGAAAGTTTTTTTGTTTATGTGTTTATTTTGTTACAAAATTTGTGGTAAATTGTATGGTCTAATTATTTATTATTGTACATAAAATGACAAAAATATAAGAATTTAATTTTCGATCTTTATGTCTTCAAAGAGGTAAAATAATGCAATTAAGATATTTAATTTATGGTCCGAAAAACAGAGGTCAATAGCACTTTGATTTTGTGAAAGAACATATGTTAAATACTTTATTAATGAATATTTATTTCAAAATTTACAACAAAATTTTATATGATATTTCTGAATAATATCAATTATATTAATAATTACAGAAAAAAATCTTTATTTTAAATTAACATATATAGTTTTTATTTATTGAAAAACATCAATAATTTGATGTTTACAAGCATATCCTATATGATTAGCAATTATCATTAAATAATATTTTAGAATTAATTACATAATATCAAATATACAAGTTAAAATTGAATTAGTTTTTATTTTCATACAATTTTTTTATATTTATTTTCTATTCAATATTTCTTTCATATTTATAAAGAGTTCAAAACCATTTGTTCAGATTTATATGGGAATTTTGATGGATAAATCTGTGTCAACTTAAACGTTTGATGTAATTGAATTAAGTGCATAATATCTTAAGTGCAAGTGTTTATAGTGAAAAAAAAGAGTATTTTGTATTTGAATGGGAGATTGCAGAGTTGCAAAGGAGATTGTTGGAAGGTTTATTTCGGAATTTGTGGGAAAGTAGTGCGCAACGTGAGCGTTAGCGGAATGGTGTTGTTTTTAGTGCAGAGGAATGCGTTGCAAAGAATTGTGTAAGGGAATTGACGAGTGGATTGATCTTGGCCATACGATCTCGTTAATACGTTTTCCATGCTAATTACATCAAAGAACAAAAACGCGTTTCAGAAAACAGCAAAGCACATTGTTGTTCTATAAGTATTATTTTAATGCTTACATTTTATTTGCATTATGTAAGAAGTTTTCATTAACATACATGACAATTTTTCAATAATTTCCTATTTTATATTGATTTCTAATGAAATGTTTTATAAAAGTATCATTTTGATTAAAATTTATCTGAAAAGTATATTCTAATACTGAATTTATAAATATTACTAAGTGATTTTTCAGTCGTTGCTTTTAATATTAATATTATTAATATTAGACAGAAAATATTTCTTTCATTAATCCATGTATTATTTGCAATTCCAAAAAGATCATCGGATTTATTTTTTGAATTAAACACGTTACTTGTAAAGTGATTATATTATTAGTTTTTTTCTTTGTAAAGTACAAATGTTGCTATTAGATTTATGCTATTAGAGTTATGTTTTGATATCTTTACAAATCTAAATAGTTTCTATAAGTCTAGGTTTACAATTTCCACACTATAGCAAATATATATTCATTTGCTTAGTTTCCTAGAAATATTTAAATTACTGACAATCTGATAAAGCATTTTTTTTTATTCATTGTATTTTGCATCTGTGCCACACATTTCAATGAAATATTTCTAAATGATAAAAAATAAAATTGGGAAATTAATTTCGACAATAAAAAATTGGATTACAATACTTTCTTAGTTGGCAGACATCTTATTCATTCTAAACCAGAGGTTCCCAAACTATTTGTGACGTAGACCCCTTGCCACGTTTTTCGGTGTTGGGTAGACCCTAACTTACATGATATTGATTTTTTGTAAATTTATTATTTATATTGGGACATCTTCATAATATATATGCTTGTAACAAGATGATACTGGTATATCATTATGTGCAAGTTTAAAATGCATTGCGACCACAAAGCGAATGCCTACAACTTACACAATTTTATAAACAAATATAATATTTTTTTACTTCATAGCTACTTTTATAAATAATGTATATGTCTTTAAATTATAAAATAGTATAATGTAAGTAAATAGGTACTATCAGTGTATGTTGAGATACACTATCGTGGACACTATCGTTTAATTTCATGGACCCCCAATTTTTTTTTTCGCTGACGTAGACCCCTTGTAGGTTGTCATAGACCCCTGGGGGTTGATATAGACCACTTTGGGATTCACTGTTCTAGAACATATAAATTATTTAATTCAGTGTCATCTCCAAAATTGAAAAATTTGATAACTATAATATGTTGCTTCTTCATTTTGTTGTTTGTTGAAAGACAATTGTTTACAGCATTTCATCAATATCCTTAATTCTGTAATATAATAAACATATGGAAACAAAATTGATTGAATCAATATATTTTCTTTATTTAACAATATGCAAAATTTGATCAGCTATATTTTTATTTTGCTCTAAAATTGTTATTTTTATATCTGCTTTAATTTTATTTGAACTGTACAGGAAACATTTAATAGAATTACAAGAAGATGTCAATGCGTTACTAAGATTTAGAAAATTTAGATTCCGGCTTGGTTTATAAAACCATTTGAAAGCGACACAGTCGATATTGATTTCTCCTTGCAAGAAGAATTGATTGAACTAAAAAA